CTGTGTTAACGCGTCTACCTATATTCTTCTACGATGGTTTACAACATGGCATGGAAGAATGCAGGTAGTCGCATGGACAAAGTTGCTGGAAATATTAACTGTCAACCCAATTTTGGAATTAAAAACTTTAAATGAAAAAATATTCAAATTTGTAATAATTGTTAAAAAAACGCATATCATAATAACTTCCGATTGGCGTTGTATAAGAACACATATAAAAACACTTATCAAAAATATATTTTAAAATTGTTTGACATATCAATGTTCCCAAGCGTTGATGCATCTAAAAGAAGAGTGGCAATTGATTGCAAGAAGAAATTTGTACGGCAAGAGTTTGCAAACTCTCAGAAAAAGAACTGTCAAAAAACCGCTCTCCTTTTCAGAACCTGAAAATTAACAAACGACAACAGTTGTTACAAATTTTAGTGTGACCAGACACACCTATTGTATTGACTCAGAGTTGCATTTTCCTTCGCCATATTTACACCAAAGAAAGTTTTCATATAACGCGCTGTTTCGACTGTAAATTCCTTTGATTGTACGTCAAATAAATTATGGATCTTCGTAAAAAGCATAATTAGTTGTGGGTGTGAACATGATAAAATAATAGGGATAGCCGCATCAACACAGCTGGGGGTACAATGAACTGCCAAAATATTTTAGGAACTATATTTTATGAATGAAAAAGTATTAAAATTAGCAACATCTTTTGAAAAACGCAAATGTCAAAAGTCAAATTCGGAAAATAACTCTGCACAAGTTTCCGATTCTGATGTCGAATTCGGAACGAACTCGGAAGAAAATTGTGTGAGATTGTCCAAGATTCTGAAAGTTTTTTTTTTTGGAAAAATGTCGGAAAGTAAAGTAGGGTTTCGTGACGAATTTGATTAGAATTCGCATAAGAAGCCAGTAAGAAAAAGGCAAAAGTCGATCGGGGCCGACTACACCAATATGATCCCGTAACAAAAGAATTTGTTTGAAGTAGATCATACCACCTACCAACATTTGGTTTTAGAGCAGTTATTGTTGAGTTCCAGAGGGAACTACTATATGGGAGTCATATCCAATTCTGAACCGATTTTTACTAAATTTGATGGAGATCTTTTTATCTTTTATACCAAATAACATTGTTATAGAGTGCATGATATCACTTCGAGAAGGATTATATACGTTATAGGATATATAGGATTATTATACGTTCCGAAATTCACTCCATTTGGGATGGTACTAGCCATTATTTGGACAATAAACCTTAAATCGGATTAAGGATATATATGGAGCTATATCTAAACCTGAACCGATCTTGATAAAATTTGACAGAGGGATTTCTGGGTTGTATCTGCTATCTGGTACCATATATTATTCTTGTGGAGTGCATATAACACATAAATGGGAGCTATCTGCACAAATTTTCACAAAAGATGGTACATCTACATCTGATCCGATTTCAATAGGGTTCGTCCTTGGGCCAAAGAAATATTGTTTGGAAACTTTCATCTCAATCGGATAATAAATGCGACCTGCATTTTGTTCACAAGAATACTTTGACAGACGGACGGACGGACTTACATGCATAAATCGACACAGAAAGTGATTCTATGAAGATCTCCAAAAGTAATTATGGGTCTATTTCGCTTCCTTCTTCATGTTACGAACAAATGTATGTATGTGGTGTAGGGTATAAAAAGAAAAATTCGGAACGTTTTAGTATGTTTGAAACGAAATTCGCCAAATTGTCGGATGTTTGATCCGAAATTCAGAAAAAAATCTGAATTTGTTCTAAAGTTTTATCCGAAAATCATTCGAAAACCGGAAAAATATAGGATGTTTGATAAGAAATTCGGAAAGGTGTTGGATGTTTGATTCGAAATTCTGAAAATTCTCGGATGTTTGATCCGAAGTTCGGAAAACATTCGGATATTTAATTCAAAATGCGGAAAATATGAATATTTTCGATAGTTTTATCCGAAAATCCTGATAAAAATTCTTTAAATATGTTCGTACCAAGGCCAATTTAATAAGGTCGCATGTAGTAACAGTGCAGGCTTAAAGGTGGAGATACATAAGACAATTTATTTCTGTCATACGTCACCGGTTGGTTTTTTTAAATAAAAGTTATAAGTGGACATAGTCCAATTTTGGGATTGAGATTCTCTTATGTATGGCTATTAGAAGCTAATAATTACCATAAAGCCATGTCCAGTAATAAATCTTCTTGAACCGCTCAAATATTTTTATTTATTTATTTTTTTTTTTTTTTTTGGCAGAAAATTTTCCACTGTTTTGTTATTGTTTTGCAATAATTAGAATTACAAAACCGTGCATACAATAAATCTAATCGATTTATTACACTGTGTAAACAGTCTATGCAACGACGCAACAAAGTTTTCCAAAGCGTAGCGAAACCTGTCAGTCGTCAGGCTGTTGCAATTCCATTGGCTTAAGAAGTTGTCCCTGATATACTTGCTTACTTGGTTGTTTGAAGAGTTACAAAATCTGAAAGAACCACTCTTGGCATTAGACATACATACACACACACACACACGGATACGACAAATGATACAACAACGACTATTTGCGGACAATCTGTTGGTGTGTATGAATTGTGTGCAGACCGGAAGAGATTTTTTGGCAAATTGAATTAAGCCGCTTTAATGATGAACATAAAGGTACATATCTGATACAAAAGAATCCATTATCTTAGTAGAGACTCGGAAGCAGCCGTAGGTTTGGGAAGCCTTGGGTGAATTCTTAATATTATTTTCCAAATTTTTCATTTGGTATTATTTTATAAATGTTTTCATTTCACATTTTCATAAAATAACAATAGAATATCCCTTCGAAGAAAAAAAGGGTTTCACATTTTATAAAGAAAATGTGAAGTGACCTTTTAATACAGATTTGAACATTTCGTCTTATTTGTTGAATCCCAGACTAATAATACAGGGTGAGATGAAAAAACTAACCAATTTAAGTGGACGGTAGAAAAAAGCAACATCAGCAGAACTGGTTTGAAAAGTAAAGAAATGACTTGATTTAAATCCACGTCGCAGTAGCCGAAAAATGGTACGTGAGCTGAACATATCGCAATATCCCATTCGGCAAATATTGAAAAATTGAAATTCCAAAAAGTGCAAGAACTTACACCGCAACAGAAAGAAAATAGACTCAAAAGAGCTAAAGAGTTCCTCGCTTGGACGAATGTGGTGAACTGCCGAATTTGGTTTTCTCCGATGAGAAAACATTCGTGTCCAGCAGTTTGTAAACAAACAAAATGATCGTGTTTACTTTCCAAAGAGGTCAGCTGAAAATGTGCACCTTCGTTTGGCCACCAGAACTCAAGCGCCCCCCATGGTGATAGTGTGGGCCGCCAAAACAGCCGATGGCCGCTCTCCGCTCGTATTAATCGAACGTGGCTTCAAAATAAATGCCGAATATTATCGCGAAAATATTCTGGAGGGTGTATTAAAGCCTTTGGGCATGCAATCATTTTGGCCGCAGACCTCGGACATTCCAAAAGGACTCAGCGCCATGAGGTTCCTCGCTTCATTTCCAGCGCACAATGGCCACCAAAATCTCCGGATACCAATCCATTGGACTATTGTGTCTGGAATATTATGGAAAGCAAGGTTGACACTAAAAAATACCAAAGTGTCGATCACCTCAAGCAAGCGCTTCGAATGGGCCAAAATACCGCAGAGCAACATTCGGGCAGCGTGTGACGTTTCATTGGCCGTTTGAAGGCCATAGTTCGTGCCAAAGGTGACCGATTCGAACAAATCTAAACTTATTCTAAAATTTGATAATATTTCCGACATTTTTTGCTTTCAATCAATAAAACTTAAAAAAATGTAAAAGTTACGGGGCTTGACTTTGTTGCAGTTTTTTTTATCTCACCCTGTATAGGTCCACGATATCGGATAGCACACATACAACGGACTCCCTGATATTAGATATTTTGACGATTTTAGGGACATTCTTAACCTGAGTTGTTTCATATTTCGCATTTGAAGTTCGGAATCGGTACTACAGCATATGACAAAAAAATTGCGTATGCAGGCCCACTTCTTCGTATAACCTCCATATAACGTTAGCTCCCATATTCGGTATTTTGATGATTTTCGAAACATTATTCACCGAAATTGTTTCAAATTTCGTATTTAGAGGTCGTAGTGGGAACTACAGTCTATGACAGAAAAATTGTCTATGCAGATCCAGGTCTTAGTATAGCCCCCATATAATGGTACCTCCCAATATTCGGTATTTTGATGATTTTAGGTACAATATTTACCGAAATTTTTTGAGATGTCGTATTTGAAGTACCTAATAGGTACTACAGCCTGTGACAAAAAATTGTCTACGTTTTCATATAGCCCCCATATAACGGTTTCAGCGACATTATTCACCGAAATTGTTTCAAATTTGGTTTTTGAAGTTCGAAATGGATACTACAGCCTAAGACAGAAACTTGTCTGTGCAGGTCCACGTCTTCGTATGGGCTATATAACAGTACCTCCCAATATTCGGTATTTTGTTGATTTTAGCGTCATTATTTACCGGCGTATTTAGAGTTAGTAATGGGAACTACATTCTGCGACAGAAAATTGTCGATGGAGGTCCATGTCTTTGTATAAGCCTCATATATCAGTACCTAATAGGCACTACTGCCTGTGACAGAAAATATGATGGTACCTCCCTATATTCGGTATTTTAGTGATTTATATATATTTCACCGGATTTTTTTTTCAAGTTTGGTATTTGAATGTTGTTTATGAGAAAAGTGGTCTATGCAGGTCCACGTCTTCGTAGAGACCCCAATATAACGGTTATATTCGTTATTTTAAGATTTTAACCGAATTTTTAATGGATTTTATTTTTTTAAAAAATATCCAAATTCTTTCCAAATGGTTGGAGGGTATTCAAAGTTCAAACTTACTGCTTTTTTCGATTGTTGTGACTTATATTTGTGTGTGTGTGTGTGTGTGTGTGTGTCTTACCATATCAATGGCTATAGGAGAGAGATGCTCCCTCGAAGTTCAGTGTTTTGCTTATAACCATGATTCGATCTTTTTTTCTTATTTCATCATGACATTTCACTTCCCATCTTCATGCAAATCATCATGGAAATGAACAACGCTTTAGAATGTTGTTGGCGATTAGAAGCGTGTTATTTTTGCTGTTGTTGTTGTTTCGATTATTAAGACGCAATGGAAAGTCCAAAGTTGTTAAACCGATAAAACAAGTTATTGATAATAATGTTAATGCTTTTGTTGTTCCCCGGAACATTTTTTGTGCAATTTTCTAACAAATACTACAGAGAATTTTCAGTTGGCCACATTCATCGATTCAAACGTGCGCGCGCACACACACACACACACACATTTACATTTGACTACAATGGTCAGACAAGTTTACATTCTGAACCGCACAAAAATAGATATCAATGGCTACGAAAGTGAAACCAGACAAGTAATCGGAATATTTCCTAATACAAACTAGCACCATCGGAAGCAACAGCAACAAAACACAACATCATATGTCTTAAACGTGTCTTGGCAATAAGGTCGACAACGCTACCTTCTCTACTACCGCCGTGGCTGACTGGCTGGCTGGCTGGCTAAATCAGACCAAAAGTAAGCTGTATGAATGAGTGATGGTCATAAAATACAAACAAACCACAACAAAAAAAAAAAAAAATCATGGCGGCTTGGCTGACAGTGTTCAGATGGGTTTCTGGTTTTAATTGGCCACATTATTTGGCAACAAAAACCGTTAACCTAAAAATCATCTTTTGATTAATTATTTTGAACTTGAAAACAAGTAACAAAATCAGCAAAAATATGGATTAGTTATGAATTTCGCGTGTGTGTGTGTTTGTATTTGTTGTGACACATTTTGACATTGTCAACCAAGATGGAATGTTACTTCCTTGTGTTTGCCTACAGCTACAAGTCTTCGAATGGCCATTCAGCAATTGTGACTCATTTGTTTTCAAGAGACTTAATGTCATTAGCCACACATATGGCCATTAATATTCATGTTACATTTTATTCAGGTTAGGGTCAAAAGGTCATGGGTCATAGGTGTTGTGCCAATGAGGTCAGTTTTTAAAAAGACATTTATTAATTATTGTCCAGGTAATTGAAGCTGTGACTTATTTTTATTATATTAATTAAGGTAATTTCAGTTTTGTAACACTGTGAGTGGTAGCACAATAACTAAACAAACATTCGGAATTTCATAATTTCAATTGCGCTATGTCCGTTTTCAACAGCAATTTTTGTTTTAGTTTGGTTAAAATTAAATTAACAAAAACAATAATTGCAATTGCAGCATGAAAAATCACGCATTGGTCATTGTTAACTTGTGTGCCTACAAAGCACATGGAGAGTATACTATGTTTGCTTTTTCCTTTTGTAACAATGGGGAAATAATAGGTCTGTCTGGTTATTTTTTCTACAGGAATTGTCCAGCAGCTCTGGTAAACATACAAATGTTTGTCTAGCAAAAATTGGCGAGCACTCAGTGAAATAACTCTCTGGAATCACTCTCTTTTGCTAACCGACTATTTTTCAGTAAAATGTCTTAATCAAAGTTTTTACCGGGTGAGTTTTCAGACTGCTGTCATTTCTAAGCCACTCGTCCGACAGCTGTTAAAATTATTCCAATGACAGCTCATTATATTGTTTACAAGCGTACAAAAGCATTTCGGTGAGAATTTTTCAGAAAAAAAGTTATTCGTGATGGAATTCAAGCATGATAGTATGATTTCTTTATATTTGGCTGGAAAACCACAAATGGCTATCGTTAGAGCAATCCAGCATTTAAATGTGAATAAATCGTTTGTGTCTCGTACCATTGCTCGTTACCGAGATACTGGTAGTGTAGCCCGACGTCAAGGAAGTGGACGGAAGAAAACAGCAACATCAGCAGAAATGATTCGAAAAGTAAAGAAGCGACTTGGTCGAAGCCCGCGTCGCAGTGGCCGAAAAATGTAACGAATAATGTAAAAATATTTCATTTGGAAAATATTGAAAAATAAACTCGGGGTAAAGCCATTGAAATTCCAAAAAGTGCAAGAACTTAAACCGCAACAGAAAGAAAATAGACTCAAAAGAGCAAAAGAGTAGCTTCGCTTGGCCGAAAGTGGTGAACCGAATTTGGTTTTCTCCGTCTCCGATGAGAAAACATTCGTTGTCCAGCAGCTTGTAAACAAGCAAAATGATCGTATTCACTTTCCAAAGAGGTCAGCTGAAAATGTGAACCTTCGGTTGGCCACCAGAACTCAAGTGCGGACCATGGTGATGGTGTGGGCCGCCATAACAGTCGATAGTCGCTCTTCGCTCGTATTAATCGACCGTGGCATCAGAATAAATGCCGAATATTATGGCGAAAATATTCTGGAGGTGTATTAAAACCTTGGGCACGCAAAATTAGGAGGGTATATTAAAGCTTTGGACACAAAAAGAAAGGATAATGCGACTTTGCTCCAATTTTGCAAATCCTAATATTTCCATTAGCGCTGCGTAAGGTTTGAAAATTTACAATATCGGTCCATTCCATCCAGTACCTCCCCCACAAAGGGTCAACATTTTGAATAATTACAACTTACAACTTATAAAATGTGATGTAACTTGTCCGATTGTTTTCAAATTTCACACATCCCAAACATTTTATTAAACCAAGGTCTAATGTGAATATAGTATATTTCGGTCCACTCCTTCCGGTACCTCCCCCACAAAGGATAAAAATTTTGAATATTCGTGAAGCTCATATAACACAAAATAGACATCCGATTCCATTCAGACTTAACACATCTCAATATTTTCATCAACACAAGATGTGTTATAAAGATGGTAGAGATCGGACCATTCCTTCTGGTACCTCCCCCACAAAGGGTCAAAGTTTTGATTATCCAAAACGTTTATAAAATCCGAAATAAGCATCAGGTTCTCTTTATATTTCACACATACAAACATCTTTGCTAACACAAAATCTGTTGTGAAGATGGGACATATCGGTCCTCTCCTTCTTGTACCTCCCCCCACAATGGGTCAATGTTTTGAATAACCAAAACGGCCATAAAATCCAAAATATGCATGCGGTTCTCTTCATATTTCATACACCACATTATTTGTACAATAATAGATCAGCTGTGAAGATGGAACATATCGGTCCACTACTTCTGGTACCTCCCCCACAAAGCGTCAACATTTTGAATTTTAATTCTCACAAAATGTAATGTAAGAGTCCGGTCGTGTTCATATTACACATATAACAATATTTTCATTAACCCAAGGTCTGGTGTGAAGATGGAATATGTCGGTCCAGTCCTTCTGTTACATCCCCCACAAAGGGTCAAAATTTTAAGTATCCATGAAGCTCATATAACGTTTAACGATTTCTTTAAGACTTGGTACATCTTAATATTCCCATCAACACAAGATTTAAAAATAAAAAAAATGGTAGAGGTTGGACCATTTCTTCTAGTATCTTCCCCACATAGGGTTCAAAATTTTTAAAAAACAAAACGTTAAAAGAAATCGAAATAAGCATCCAACTTTCTTCAAATTTCACACATACAAATATTTCTGCTAATGCAAGATCTTTTATGAATATGATATATATCTGCGAACCCCTTCTGGCGCCTCACCCTAAAAGGGTCAAAATTTCCAATACTCATATCTGTCATAATTTGCGATTCTTATATCTAAATATATCTAAATATTTCTCTTAAACAGAAATCTGATATCGATATGTCATTTATCGAAATTTATGATTTCGCATAAAATTGGTTATAAATGTTCGATTTCCTTCCAATTTTGCACATACCAATATTTTTTATCTGGAATATTTCGGTCCGGTATATCTGTTACCTCACGCATATTTCCACATTTTCCAAAAATTTACCCATATCTCATATAAAGTATGGGAAGTAGTCGATATAGTCCAAATCTGGCACATTGCAGTATTTATATCAGTGTCAGATAAGGATTGGTCAATATTAGCCAACTGCTTCGGAACCTCCTCCCCCATAAAGGGTCAACAGTTTGAATAATCATAACTCAAGGCTGGGGGTACACATCTGTCGGCAAAACCGACTGATACTTTTTAATTTGTTTATTGTTTTAAACTGTTTAACCACCAAATAAATGACCAGGTTTGAATAATTTTCTACCCAAAATTAGTATTATGGATTATCAAAACGTCTTAACCAATGTAAACTTACTTCCTATTTGCTTTTTTGATTATATACCCCATATCTCAAATAAGTGTTTATATTCCAAACACAGAAAAAGTCTATAATATTTTCGACCCCACTAAACTTGGTCTCTAATTAACATTTAGCAGATGGACAGAGCAGCGTTTACAAATGACAGACCAAGAGTTCAAATGTTTTCCATTTGGGCATGAGAATGTCTGACAGAGAGAGGGTTAAAATACGTTTTACACGAATTGCGGTATTTGCTCAATTCAACGAACAAGTGGCATGTGTTTGTTTAGTTTTTGTTTTTTGGGTGGAGGGGACTACGTCATTCTGAGTCGGTTTGGCTGGCATATCGTCGTCGTCAACAACAACAATACACACGAATTACAAACAAAACAACACTTCATTCACCAAAACATGGCATAACATTTCCTCGCAGTAAACCCCAAATAGAAACGCCAAACAAAATTGTTGTTGTCATTACGGAAGTTTCGTAAATCCCCAAAACAGCTACAGCTATTTTATCCAGTAGGCCAATTATTTATTTATTTTTTTTTTTAATATTTCCAAAAGCACCAGCCGCAGCAATTTCCATTCAATTTAACCACTAAAGATAACTTCACTTACCTATCACAATATGTATTGGCGTATTGGCCACAACTGGCGGTGTTTTTGGGGTTTTGGATTTTTATTTCACCAACTCACTTAACTAGAATCACAACTTACAACTAGCGAACGACTTGTGTCGACAAGTGAACAGAACGTACCGAATTTATAAACAACGCACGCAGCAGCAACAGCAGCTAATCCAAATGCACTTTTAACTGGCTGGCTAGGCTAGGCTAACTATAATCAGAAAGAAACGTCTTATCCGCAACTGGAAGCAAAGCAATAAACAAATAGAACCGATGACCGATCAACAGGCGACAAGACGAACTAAACGCGTTTATGGCAAGCAGGTAACTGACGTTCTACTCCGGTGAACCGCTTCAGATGAAGGTAAAGCAAAACTCTGTTCGTTTATCTTTGAATTGAGTCAAGCTTAGAGTTACAACAATAATTCAAGCGTAATGCGAGTGAGCTGTGAACTGAGTGGCTCAGATAAAAAACACACACACACGCACACTCATATGTGTATTTGTTTTGAGTGTTTTGATATTTAATCAAAGTTACCAGATTGTATTAAATCTACTCATTTTAACTACTAACCGATAACCGATTGAGTTATTATCAGAAATAGAACATTTGTATAATCTTTCAAAGATTAGTTTTTTGCAAAACATGAGCTAATCTAGTTATCAAGTCCTTGAGATGTATAAGTACTTTTATGGCCATGTAGTTTTCTACACCATTTTCATATTTCAGGTGTAATTTAAGAGTTTGTATTCGAAAGCTGACAATTTTCAGAGAACAATTGGGGTTAATCCGCCCTATCATAATTATATAAATCTATAATATCCCTATTAAGTTTCCTTTCAATTTTAAAATTGTTACGAACGCCTAAAAGTATGTTATAAATAAAATGTGAAAAAGTAATTTTGTGAATGACTAACATAATGATTAAATCATGGTAGAAAACATACGGGTAGATGCACCAACGCTTGGTAACATTGAAATGTCAAACATTTTTAAATGTTTTTCAAATATAAGTAGATTTTTATAAGTTTTCTTATACGATGTCATTCGGAGGTTATTATAAGTCGCGTTTTCAAAAATTTTTACAAATTTAAATATTTTTTCATTCAACATTTTCAATGCCAAAATTGGTTTGACAGTTCATTGTCCCAGCAGCTGTGTCGATGCGTCTACCATAATTCTTCTACCATGGTTTAAACTGACCTTAACCTTTAACTGGCGAGGTGACATATTTTATAACATTTTATAACAAAAAAAAAAAAAAAAAACAAGTTAAAAATTATCAGTCGGATTTGCCGACAGATAAATACCCTCAGTCAATTATTTAAATACATTTGTACTTCTGTTATGATTATTAAAATGGTTAACCCTCTATGGAGTAGGTTCTGAAGGAATGGCCCAATATTGTCAATTTCGTATCGGACCTGAATAAATATTATATAAATATTGGTATGTGCCAGGTTTGGACAATATTGGTTACTTACTTCACTTTATATGAGATATGTGATCATTTTTATAGTCGACCGAAGTATTCCATTTCCATACTTCATCTAATACAGATAAAAATATTGGTATGGGCAATTACAAGAAAATCGTACATTTATATTCAATTTTATGCGATTTTTTTATTTACATCAAATTTCTATATTCACCCCAGACTTCTGGTTGAGAGAAATATTTAGATATAGAAAAGTTGTAAGGAATCGCTGATTTGTTTCGCAAGTTATGAAAAAGTATTGAAAATTGTGACCCTTTGTAGATGAGGCACCAGAATGAGTTCGCAGATATATATCATCTTCACAGAAGATCTTGTGTTAGCTAAAATGTTTAGATGTGTAAAATTTGAAGCGAGTTGGATGCTTATTTCGCTTTCTTAGAGCGTTTTGTTTTCTTGAACCCTACCAGAAGAAATAGTCCGATCTCTACAACAGTCCGATCATTATAACAGATCTTGTGTTGATAGAAATATTGAGATGAGCCACGTCATGTAAATGTAATCGGATATATATTTCGCATTTTATAAGCTTCATGGATATTCAAAATGTTGACCCTTTGTGGGAAGGTACCAGAAGGAGTAGACCGATATGTCCTATCATCACAGCAGATCTTCTGTTAGTAGATATAGAGAACCGGATGCGTATTTCGGATTTTATGATTGTTTTGGTTATTCCAAACTTTGACTCTTTGTGTGGATGGTACCAGAAGAAATAGTCTGATCTCCGTCATATTTATAATAGATCTTGTGTTTATGGAAATATAAAGATGTGCCAAGTCTGAATGAATTCGGATGTTAGTCTCGCGTTTTATGAGCTTCATGGATATTCAAAAATTTGACGCTTTGTGGGGGAGGTACCAGAAGGAGAGGACCGATATATTCCATCTTCACACCAGACCTTGGTTTAATAACAATGTTGTTATTTGTGTAATTTGAAGACAATCGGACCCTTACATCACATTTTGTAAGAATTATAAATATTCAAAATTTTGATCTTTTGTGGGGGAAAAACTTGATGGAGTATCCATTTTCGCACCCGACCTAGCACTGATACAAATATGAGGATTCGCAAAGTTTTAAAGCGTCCTTTTGGAGTATTCTTTCTCTTTCTGTGCAGCAAAATTATTTTCTTTGAAAATATTGACATTTTGTCTGGGAGGTGCCAGAAGAAGTGGACCGATATTGCCCATCTCCGATTTAATTTTGACAACAATATTACGATGTGAATTTCGTGAGTTATCGTGCGCACCAGCCAGACAGACAAACGGACTGACGAACGGACATCGCTAAATCGACTCCAAATGTCCTGAATCGGATTTGATCCAAAAGGGACCTAGGGTCTAAAACCGTTTTTTCGATGAGGCAAGGTTTGGCCATATCAAATGATATATAACCTCTCTAGCCATATATTTGAGGGTATAAAAAGGGGGAAAAATTGTAAAATAAATGATAATTTAAAAACTAATTGATTCATTAGATATACATAATAATATTATTTTCTGCTTCTCTTCTAGTGGCTTTAGAATCTTCAGGATTTTAAGATGTTGTCGCTTATTCCAAATTGTAAGTATGCGTATGTTTGTTGTGGTATCGGTCTTTTTAGGTTAAGGAAATACTTTACTTACTCAATTTTCTTGCAGCACTAGAAATATACCCACTTTGAACTTTTTAACCGGAATGTCATAAATTGGTTCAATTATAGACAAAGCCAATTTATTACCGTTGCTATCAGTACTAGACATACACATCATTACCTTGATGAGTAGATCGAGCTTACGTTTCCTTTGCTGAATTAATGAAAAATTTCAAAGTTTATATAAAATGTACGCATCAACTCTTAACCACATGAATAAATAAGTTTATTTTATAACCCTTTATTTCAGTTTTATCTTTTACTGGGGTCAATTACTCAATTTGAGTATGAGTTGTAGCTCAAAAGAGTATCGTATTTTGATAACAGCTTTTGTGTGAATTACTCTCCATAAAGTATGTATGTGTGTATGGAATAATATGTCTCTTAATTGTCATTCTCCATAGCAAAGATGACGATCGACACTTGACTCAAACCCCCCCCCCCTAAATGATCGCAAAACAATGTCTATAAAACTTGGAGATGTGACAAAAATTGAACTGGATTCTGTTGTGTGATGCGTATATAAGAATATAATTAAATAAACAATTGCAATTAAAATTATTTAATTTGTTTGTGGTTTATAATCAATCATATTGTTTTCTATCTTCCAGTTTAGTTTTTTCCTAACGATAGAAATAAAAACAAATTTATTTATTTACGGAATAGATACATCGGTAAGTACATAACCGACATTAGGCATTCAAGTCACGTTTAAAATTTTGAACGTGTTGTAAGAGAATTGTACCTGTATATACTTATACTATATGTATGATAGGCTGGATTATCAATTATTTATATACAAGTTTTTTTTTATGATAAAACTATATTTTTTATTATGTAACAATTTATTTTCGGACATTTTTACCCAGGTTTAGGTTTAATTTTCTCAAAACAATTTTTGCAGAATCACATAGTAACGTTAGTATTTCAAACGTATTTTATCTTCTTCTGTTTTCACCGACACTAAATTGTGGCCTGGCATGGACGATTTGATTACCAAAAACGATATGCTAGATACAAGTTACATATTGGCGTTATTACAACATTTGGGGAAAATGAATGGCATGAGGGAGTGAATAATATTGCAGACACCTTCGAAAAGACATATGTAAAGACGTCTTATGAAGTTCCTACTAAAATGCACTATATTCAGTTTTTAGAATTTTGAAGTTTGGAATGAGAATCACAGATGGAGTGTAGGATAAATGTTGAAAAGCTTATTTGGAAATTCAAACTCTAAGGTTATGAAAAGTCCATTCACGAAAAACACTAAATGATACAAAATTTGGTATTGAGTGAAGGGATTGAGGGTGAGATAAAAAAAAAAACTGCAAAAAAGTCAAATGCCATACTTTTTACATTTTTTTTTTTTTAATTTTATTGAATGAAAGCAAAAAATGTCGGAAATAGCATCAAATTTTAGAATAAATTTAGATTTGTTCGAATTGGTCACCGTTGGCGTTGGTTATGGCCTTCAAACGCCAATGAAACCGTCGCACGCAGCCCAAATGTTGCTCTGCGGTATTGCTTGAGGTGATAGTCACTTTGGTATTTTTAATTGCCAACCCAGCTTGCTTTCTTGCTGAGAAACCCCATTCTTGGGCGGCGCGTGCTGAGTGCGATGGTGCTGAGTCCTGTTGAAAGATCCAAGGTCTGCGTGCCCAAGGCTTTAATACACCCTCCAGAATATTTTCGCGATAATCGGCATTTATTCTGATGCCACGGTCGATTAATACGAGCGGAGAGCGACCATCGGCTGTTATGGCGGCCCACACCATCACCATCACCATGGCTGGCGCTTGAGTTTTGGTGGCCAACCGAAGGTGCATATTTTCAGCTGACCTCTTTGGCAAACACGATAATTTTGTTTGTTTACAAACTGCTGGACAATGAAGGTTTTCTCATCGGAGACGGAGAAAACAAAATTCAGCAGTTCACCACTTTCGGCCAAGCGAAGCAACTCTTTAGCTCTTTTTAGTCTATTTGCTTTCTTCTTGCACTTTTGGAATGGCTTTACCCCGAGCTCATTTTTCAATATTTGCCGAATGGAATATTGCGATATGTTCAGCTCACGAGCCATTTTTCGGCCACTGCGATGCGGGTTTCGATTAAGTCGCTTCTTTACTTTTCGAACCATTTCTGGTGATGTTGATGTTTTCTTCCGTCCACTTCCTTGACGTCGGGCTACGCTGTGCTCTAACGATAGCCAGTTGTGGTTTTCCAGGCAAATATAAAGAAATCACACCATCACGCTTAAGTTCCATCACAAATAACTTTTTTTTTCTGGGAAATTCTCACTAAAATGCTATTGCACGTTTGTAAAAAATATAATGAGCTGTCACTGGAATAATTTTAATAGCTGTTGTACGAGTGCCTTATAAATGACAGCAGTCTGAAGTTGGTTACAATTTTTTCACCCTGTACTCGTAAAGATAAGTGAAATCGAAAGTATCTGTAATTCTTTCCTGAATGAAACATGGATAAATCTTGTGAACCAAAGAAAATAATTAGGGGACTCATGAAATCCTTAAAAACCCCGGGGTTTCGAGATCGCTCTCAGTAATCGATACGTACTCCATGTAATTTTTTTAAGAAAAATTCGCGCTCTATGTCTTTGCTATTCTTTTATCGCTTTTATATTATTTTTAGTTATATTAAATTTATTTTGTTTGTTGATTGAAAATAACTAACTAATATTTATAGATTTACTATCTACCGATCTATAATCCCAAACAAACCATTATCAAAACTATTATTATTTTCTTGGTAAACAAAAGCATTTGCTCTCTATTAAAAACAACTTCATTGCTGGGGGTGTTTTGGCCCATTTTTTTGAAGGTGATCGAAATCACTTTCGCTGGAAATGATAATTTTCGTTCTTCATGCGATCTGCTCGTTCTTGCCACCTAAGAAAAAAACCCAAATAATAAATATATGAGCTAAGCGATAATTTTAAAGAAGTACCCATTTACTCAATGTTTACACAGTATTTATTTAACGAAATTAGGAAGAGATAAAGCAATGGCCGAAACAGCGAACATTTATACTCCTTCTTATCAGACATTGCCTGCTCGCTCGCTCAATTTCTTGTCGATAATAAACACTGCAAAAATTACAGATATGTAGGCATATACTTATACATATGTGTGAAGGAAGGTAGTGGTTGAAATGAAATATTGATAACTAAATTCAATTTGTTGACAAAACAAAAACAATGTCAAATTGGAACTGGAACTGGGGAATTGTGAAAAACAAAACGACAAGAATTTTTTATTTCATTTCAGCTTTTGGACTTTGCCCTATGAGTCTCTACGAGACCCCTTAGAATTTAAGTGGTTTTAAAGCGAATCTATCAGATACCACCCTGCAAGCAATTGTTCGGCGTGAAATAAAAACAAATAAATAATACTTATAACAAAACCCTTGCAATTATCAAAACACTCTTTGGGCATTCAAGACAAAGAGAGTTGGTCGGTGGCGATCGGCACATTTTCTCTAGTTCTATTGTTTCAAAAGTGAAATGAAATTTGAAAACAAAGGCTTGTCGTTGTGCTGCAATTACAATTTCGATAACAACAATACTAAATAATACGATCACGAATAGGGTATTTTGAGGGAATGGGAGAAGTTTTTTTTTTTCTGTAAATTTTAAATTTTTTATATGCCCTTAATTTAAAGAAAGAAAATTGCGAAACCAATATCATAATTTTGAGAGTAGATTTTAATATTTTACGCCACTTGAATGGGCATTAATAAAAATAACATAAAATTAGTCATTAAACCCAAAAACGTTCCATTGTAATAATAAGTGAATATGGGCATAAATTAAGCGCCCAGCGATAAAAATGTGTACAGGTCACACAGTGTAAACCAAATACTTGTATAGTATTAATATTATATTTGAAATTAAAAACTGTAATCTGAATTACATTGTTGCCTAAGAGAATCGAAAATATGATTTTTATGTCCCACACCACAAGGTGGTCAGGGTAGTATGTCTTTGTGCATTTGTTTGTAACAGGCAAAAGGATACGAGATAGACCCATAATTCCTTTTGATGATCTGCATAGAATCACATTCTGAATCGATTTATTAATGTAAACCAAGTACAGGTAGCAATTTATTGTCCGATCCAGATAAAATTTTGCAGAAATAATTTGTTTGACCCTAGGACGAACCCTATTTAAATTGGAGATAATCGGTCAACATTTAGATAGAGCTCCCATATATATCTTCGTCCAATTTGCCGTTTATTGTCCGCCAAACGTATAATACCAGCCCAAATAGTATGGAATTCTGCATATACGACCTGGAAATAAGTATGGGAAATTTGATCGAAATCGGCTCAGATATAGCTATAGCTTTCACATATATAATTTATCCTATTTGATATTTTTGTCCGAGTCCGATTGTCCTAAAATTACACACAACGCAATATTTTAATTAACCCAAGGTCTGGTGTGAAAATGGGACATATCGGTACACTCCTTCTTGTACTACCCCACCAAGGGTCAACATTTTGAATATCCATAAAGCTCTTAAAACGAGAAATTAATATCCGATTCCATATCCGACTTGGCACATCTCAATATTTCCATGGACACAATATCTGTTATAAAGATGTCCTTTTGTATTCCTTCTGGTAACTCCCTCACAAAGGATCGAAGTTTTGAATACTCAAAATGATCATAAAATCCGAAATAAGTATCCGGTTCTCCTCATATTCATTCATTCTTCATTCATGTCCCATTATTTCTAATGACACAAGATTTCCTGTGAAGATGAAATATATCGGTCCACGCCTTCTGGTACCTCCCCCACAAAGGATCAAAATTGTGAATATCCATGAAGCTCATAAAACGCGAAATTAACATCCGATTCCATTCGATTTGGTACATCTCAATGTTTCCATCGGAACATTTCTTCTGGTACCTCCCCCATATGGGGTTCAAGATTTTAAAAAACAAAATGCTCGATGAAAGCGAAATAAGCATCCGATTCTCTTCAAATTTCACACATACAAAGATTCACAGTTTTCAATACTTTTATCTGTCATAACTAGCGAAACAAGTCAGTGATTCTTCAAATCTGGCTATATCTAAAAATTTTTCTTAACCAGAAACCTGAGATGAATATGGAATTTATGAGTTCCCAAAAATGTTCGATTTTCTTATAATTTTGGCCGTACCAATATTTTTATCGGTATTATATGAATCATGAAAATGGAATATTTCGGTCGACAATATGTGGTACCACACGCACATTTTAACATTTTCTAAAAATTAGTTCATATAATGTGAAATAAGAACCAATATAGTCCAAACCTGGAACGTCGCAATATTTATATCGCATATATATAAGTCCGGTATTAAATTTACGATATTGACCCATTCCTTCGGAACCTACTCCATAGAGGCTCAACATCTTCACTTCTGTTATGATAGTCAAAATATATTTAAATAATCGATCATTGGCTGAGAGTGTCCATCTGTCGGCAAAACCGAAAGATATTTTTTAACTTGTTTTTTTCCCAAATTTCGTTTCTCAGTCCGAATTTCATAGGAATCGGACATACATAACTCGGCCGAAAATATATATGGGAGCTATATTCAAATCTAAAACGATTTCAATACAAGTTGACAAAATTATTTTTGCTCCAAATTCAGTTACGCACTCCAATTTTGAAGATAATATATGTAATCAGTCAATGTATATGTGCATTCAAAACCCAAATTTTATGAAGGTATCTTCAATTCTGAAGCTACATCTCCCGTTCGAACTGGAATTTCAAAATTGTATATAGCCTATGTTACTTTCTGACTATGCTGTAGTATATTTGGGAATTTTCAGGAAAATCTGTTCAGCAGTTTTTTGAGTCCATAAATTACAAACAAACAAAGGTACAAACAGTTTTCTATTTAATAGGTATAGAAGAAGATTCAATTTTCCAAATATGAATTGAATATTTTGAATACTTCTTCTTCAACCTATAAGTATTAAAAAAACTTGATTCTTCCCTAACAAAATATTCAAATATCGCATAAGCTTAATGTACAATTAGTAGCTAATTAATACACCTCACTATAATTTGTAATAAAATTTATGACGGTTTTTTGTAGTCCCTTTTTATCAATACTCGTAGCTACATTTCTAATTATTTCCTGGTTTCTAATTGCCGCTATAAAATACTTTCTTTGGCGCAACAGCTGTAAAGGTAATTGGAAAAGAAAATTTGGTGGTCAAGATATAAGAAGCGTGTTATAATAATGTACCTGACCAAATTGGACTTATTAAATACTCCAAAGTTAGCAACAAAACGATATGATTTGATAAAAAAGCCAACAGGTGAAAATGGTGTTTGGTCAGACGGGCCGAAACTTTTATAACTGCCACCTTAGGGCAGCTAATAAGGAAAAAAAAGCAATGATGGGCAGTACAGGCTATATGGTACCCTATGAAACTCTGAGTATGTGAAAGAAAGCTTAAAAAATATGATGTTTTAAAATCGGATAAAACATGTGTATTTTGAAGCTATATACAGGGTGAGATGGAAAAACTGAAACCAACTTCAAATTGCTATCATTTCTAAGCCACTCGTCCGACAGCTGTTAAAATTATTCCAGTGACAGCTCATTATATTGTTTACAAGTGTACAAAAGCATTTTGGTGAGAATTTTCCAAAAAAAAAAGTTATTCGTGATGGAATTCAAGCGTGATAGTGTGATTTCTTTATATTTGGCTGGAAAACCACACGTGACTATCGTTTTGTGTCTTGTATCATCGTTTGTTACCGTGATACTGGTAGCGTAGCCCGACGTCGAGGAAGTGAACAGCAACATCAGCAGAAATGGTTCGAAAAGTAAAGAAGCGACTTGATCGAAACCCGCGTCGCAGTGGCCGAAAAATGGCTCGTGAACTGAACATATCGCAGAATTCCATTCGGCAATTATTAAAAAATAAGCTCGGTGTAAAGCCATTGAAATTCAAAAAAATGCAGGAACTTACACCGCAACAGAAAGAAAATAGACTCAAAAGAGCTAAAGAGTTTCTTCGCTTTTCCGAAAGTGGTGAACTGCCGAATTTGGTCGTCTCCGATGAGAAAACATTCGTTGTCCAGCAGTTTGTAAACAAACAAAATGATCGTGTTTATTTGCCAAAGAGGTCAGCTGAAAATGTGCACCTTCGGTTGGCCACCAGAACTGAAGCACCGACCATGATGATGATGGTGTGGGCCGCCATAGCAGCCGATGGTCGCTCTCCGCTTATATTAATCGACCGTGGCATCAGAATAAATGCCGAATATTATGGCAAAAATATACTGGAGGGTGTATTGAAGCCTTGGGCACGCAAACATTTTGGCCGCAGACCTTGGACATTTAAACAGGACTCAGCACCATCGCACTCAACACGCGCCACCCAAGAATGGTTACAAAATGAGGTTCCTCGCTTCATTTCCAGCGCACAATGGCCACCAAAATCTCTGGATACCAATCCGTTGGACTATTGTGTCTGGAGTCTTTTGGAAATCAAAAGTGTAGATCACCTCTAGCAAGCGCTTAGCCGGGAATGGGCCAAAATACCGCAGAGCATCATTCGGGCATAATTGGCCGTTTGAAGGCCATAATTCGTGCCAAAGGTGACCAATTCGAACAAATCTAAACTTATTCTAAAATTTAATGTTGTTTCCGATATTTTTCGCTTTCACTCAATAAAATTTAAAAAAAAATGTAAAAATTATGGCTTTTGACTTTGTTGCCGTTTTTTTATCTCACCCTGTATATGGTGTTGTCGGAAATGTGTACTGTAATTGTTCGAAAAGTACTAAAGATAGTATTGGTTGAAGGAATAGAGCTGTAGTCCTAAAATTTGATAAAAACGTCACTTTTGGTGTCTTATTGAAGATATAAAGATGGTATTGAAAATGTGTACTATAATTTCTATAAATGTACTAAGTGGTACTAAATTGAGTATTGGGTGAAGGGATAGAGATATATTTCTGAAGTACTAAATTTGGTATTAGGTGAAGGAATAGACCGGCAATTTGATAAAAATGTATATGTTGGTGTGTTATTTATGACATGAATATGGTATGAGAAATGCCTACTATAATTTCTGAAAAAGTACTAAGTGGTACTAAATATATATTACTGATGGTATCTGGAATGGAGATATGGAGGTGGTATTGGAAATATGTATTATAATTGTTCAAAAAGTACTAAATGGTATTAAACTTGGTATTGGGTGCAGGGATAGAGCTGAAATCCTAAAAATTGATATGGATGTCACTGTTGGGGTCTGTAGTTGAGGGAAGGTGTCCGCTTTGGTAATGCTTACTATAATTGTACTAAACGGTAGTGTGGGAAATTACAGAGCAGAAATCCTGAACTTCGTCCACCCATTCGTCTCTGGGGAAAGCCAGAGAAAGTGAGTTTAATTTCTTTGGCAGGGTAAAATAAAGAAAACTTCATAGCTGTTTATGTTTACTTAAAATGAGGCTATCTTCAAATAATTGTACCATGGATCGTATATATGTCATATTTTTTATTGCTTCTAAATTGATTATTTCGATTAGTCACAAATTAGGTGGCAAAACTTAGTATACCTTCCACTTTATACAAATGGCTATAATTGAAAAAAAAAACAATGTCTTGCTCATTATTCTGCGAGTCCATAGATCAATTTGAAATGGGGAACCGCAAAATGTTCATTTTTGTTTCATTAGATAATGATAATGTGCGAAGGTGGTTGGAAGTAATCAATTTTAAACTTTTTTCGCCACTTTTGACTGATAAGCCATGGAAATATTCGATTGTTTCAGAAAGAGAGAGAGAGATTGGGAGAGAAAGCGAAAGCCGAATTTATTGATTGCTGAAATAATGGAACGCAGAATTGATAAGACGCTTCCTTGCTCAATTTTGAAATTAATTTTCAATTATGAAATTGAGAGTTGAATGTAAGTGTTCTTGATATTTATATATTATAAATGTTTCGCAAGACCTCGATGCTGTTTTGTTTTATTATTTCAGAAAAAATCTGTGGAAATATCAAAGTTCGTCATGGCATAACATTTAACTCAACTGGTTGTTTACATTTGTCATCGTGACCGAGGTAATGAGTGAACGCCTAACAATGTGAGTCTGCCTACCCTTTGGACTTGATGGTAAACCCAGCACCCGGTACTGAGAACAAGAACTGTGCTGGAGACATGTTGTTGGCAATTATCAAATGAATTTAATTGCCAATGGGAATGACCGGGTGATTCCCTCTCTCCCACTTTGCGCTGTTCTCTCTCTCATTCACATATTTATCAGGTTGCTCAAAATAATGTTATAGTTTCGCCACTTGATTTAATATTTGTTTGTTCATTTGTATTTTGAAAATAATTATTGCTGAATTTGATAAGAATTCAGAACAACAACACAAATCAGAGAACGACAACGACGGCGACGCCGTCTTATTGGACAATCTTCTTAAAGGCTGGACTACATAAACGTGCTGGCACAGCGTTTCAGAACTCACAAGGGATCAACATTCATTCCGAACAATTAGTCGGTTGAAACAACGTGTCGATCGATGATCAACTAAAATATCAAAGCCAAAGTAAAAAAAAAACACCAACGCCAATTCCGTCCATTAGAATCGAATTTTTCTATAGGACTCAGCCAACAACTGCCTAGAACCTTCCCCCCAAATCCTGTGATAATTTCGAACAAATTTTAGAAAATCTAAACCGAAACTAAAGAAAAAAACGTAAGTGGTGATCAAAACTCAACTCAAAGTGCACGCATTTGAATTAATTTGAAAACTAATCAAAGAATAATTTTGCATAATTTCCATTGCATGTGAAAACTAATTATTGAATCCGAAATAAAAACAAATGTTTGTTTTATTTTGCATTGTCAAGTAATTTTTGGTGATTTTCTATTAAACGACTCGACTTGACGACAAGTTTTGAAGTGTTCTTTAGACATTGTGATGTAGCGTGGAAATTGTGTCTGAAAATACAAAAACAGTTTCAAAAAGGATATTGTTCGGGTCACAAATCGTCGGTATTAGAGAAATAATATTTTGAATAAATAATAAATGTTTAACGGTCCAAGTATTTACAAAATTAAAGTGATATGCCAATAATATGGCACAGTTACAAAAACAAAAAGTTATTCCTAGCACAAAATGCTCGAGAATTTCAGAAAAGAGAAAATCCCAAAATTATTTGAAGAATATTTTTGAATAGATTTCAAAATTTTATGTGACATTTTTTTAATTTGACGATTAATTTTTTGTGAAATAAAAGATCCATATGTCCTTTTAACGGCATAAGGATATGAGGTTCATTGTGACAAGTTCAATTTGAACAGGCTCTTTGAGAACATTTCGATTTCTTTGAGAATAGATAGAATAAATTCCTTGAAGATTATAATTTTATCCTTAAGGATATGTATACGTGTATATATTAATTATAAGAGATAAATATTTCTGAAAAAGTTTTTAAAAATATTAATTTACTCCATATTGGAAAAAAGTTCTCAGTCTGAAAATTGTCGCATGAAATGGTTCTCTTTAAATAACTTTGCCTTTAAATCCAAAACACAATTTTTCTTTGAGAGTAAAGGTGGCAGTAAGCGCTTTTAAGGCTGGTTTTAGGTTGAATTAGTTCGATTTTAGATTACTGATGGTATCTGTGCTTGAGATTTGGCAAGTCTGGATAAAATCGTTTTTTTTTTTTTTTTGCATTTTATGAGCTTCATGGACATTCAAAATGTTGACCCCTTGTGGGTAGGTACCAGATGGAGGGGACCGATATATTCCATCTTAACGCCAGACCTTGGGTCTGGCGTGATGTGTGAAATTTAAAGACAATCGGAATCACAAACATCACATTTTGTAAGAGTTTTAATTGTTCAGAATTTTGACCCTTTGTGAAGGAATTATTTGCCCATTTTCGCACCTGACCTAGCACTGATGCAAATATTAGGATTTGCAAAGTTGGAGCAAAATCGGATTATCTTTTCTCTTTCTGTGCAGTAAATTATTTTCTTTGAAAATGTCGACATTTTGTGTGGGAGGTACAAGAAGGAGTAGACCGATATTGCCCACGTCCGAACTCGATATAAGTTTTGACAATAATATTACGATGTACCAAGTTTGGATAAAATCGGATACTCCCTTCGAGAGTTATCGTGCGCACCAGCCAGACAGACGGACGGACAGACATCGCTAGATCGACTCTAAATATCCTGAAACGGATTTTTATTCACAGAGACCTAGGATCTAAAACCGTTATTTCGATGAGACACCGATTTTTAGATTTATTTAAATTTTTAAAATCAATTCAATTTAAATTTTAAATCAATCAGGTTGAACGAAAGCATAACAAGTGGAGAAAGATGAAAATGTTTATAAGTGCGGTTGTAAGATTTAGAAGACTTTCCAAAAGAATTTTAGTTTTATTTAATTCTTTGGTTCCTCTTCTATTGAGCTTACGATCTCGTCACTTGGGTAAAAAATGTTTTTTGTCATAGAAGTTATTTTAAAATAACTTCTGGGGAGAATATCCCAGACAAAAAACAAGGGAACTGATGAGGATTGGTGACTCTTTCCGAAACCTAGGTATTCCCTGCCTTACCCCCTGGTAAACATTACCATCGTTCTCCACTAATAAACAAACGTTGTTTTTATAAAAACAACAATAAAGGGATAAGCCTGACCATTTTGCAACAACAAAATACTACGGTATCCCGAACAAACAAGCCACACTGTTCTTTTTAAATCAATCGAGATATCATTTGTGTGTTTAAATAAAAAAATAATTTCCTTGACTTTCTCTCCATGGCCTATGAAAAGTAAACTCTTTAAGTCGAACTGCTTTTTACAATGTTTTCTGCTTAAAATAATACGTATTTTGATAAACAAATTGAAAAGAATTGATTCAATTGTTTATGTTGAGGTAAATATTCACAAAGCCTATGCGTTATACCATTAACACGCTGTTGTCGTTATCTTATCGCACAGATTTATTCAAAAACAAAAACAAAATAGAAAGAATGAAAAATATTTTATCGTCTCGATAAAATATTAACATTGATTATTGAAATTTTAAATGTCTATATTTAAAAAAAATGTAAACATGTTTATGATATTTAAAATAAGTTAGGAACATGTGTCTTATCTTTTAGATATCATGCATAGGCATTACAAAAATATCATACGATCGAATAAGGTTGATGTTTTGTTCCATAAATTATATTACTACTGGAGCAGGTGTTATTCTTCGAAAATTAATTTGCCACCTGGTCCGAACATAACAAAATCGCTTGCTAGATCTTATCAAATCTACACTTGAACATAAAAAACTTCCCAGAGATTCGTTATAATAATAAAAACCCATTAGAAATTACCTACAATGCCTTTTAAAATAATTCAAAATTAGTTAATTTGAAACTGCTATTTGAAACACGATACTATATTACTATCGATTTTTATCATACACTCTCAATTCTAAGCTTTTTTCCCCTCAACACCATCTCATACTAATCGCATAATCTAAAGCCCCCATAATTGCACGTTAAAGCCTAACTTAAAGCTTAAACATTGTGTTGTTATTTTTGTTGTTTGGAATATTCAAAACATTATTTCAACGATCATTTTTGTGTTATTATTTTCATACCGTCCGAAAACAGCAACAGTCAACATGTCAAACACAAACAGTGAAGAAGCTTTCAATATTCGTACCGGCTTTGTTAAACCCGAAACCTTGGAAATAGCCAAAAATGAATTACGTGAGACACCAGAAATTAAAGAAGCAGCCATTAAAGAGGTAATTGTCGAAACATATTTTGGATTAACATTTGAAAAAAAAAATTCCATGACCATTTTTAAGAATCGTTCTTTAGATAGAAAAAATATTTTTTTTTAATTTCAGTTGCGTGAGCTGTTAAATGCCTGCCCCGATCTCAAATACAGAGATGATGATGAGTTTTTGATCATTTTCCTGAGAGCCTGCCACTTCTATCCACAGAGTGCATTTGAAAAGGTATGTAGGAATATGGAATATTTGCTAGAATAGCAGATAGGAAAAAATATATGAAACCCGGAAGTTTCTATCACCAACGGTAGTGATTGTTGCAATATGGCGTATATCGAAAGGATAATATTAGGATAATGTCATAAAACGGAGTAATTTGATTTAAAAACGGCAATCATTTTTATTTTACTTCAGGCAAGAAACTGACAATGTTTCATTTTGTATTCGACGGCTTTGGCCCTCTATCAAGGCCTTTATAAGGTCGGCCAGTAAGCCCATCTAACTACCAAGTTTGTTGTCAAACACACATAAATGGGATTTAAAATTCACAGAAAGTCTAAATTAAAAACTAGTAACTTTATTTTCAAAAATAGTCTTGTCCGACCTTATATGGGACATGCTCTCTACAGAGTGAGATAAAAAACTGCAAAAAAGTCAAACGAAATAATTTTTACATTTTTTTTCGGCAGTTCACCACTTTCGGCCAAGCGAAGCAACTCTTTAGCTGTTGAATTGGTCACAATGATATTTGCTACCAGATATTTTAGAGAGCTTGGATATACCTTTGCCAAATTTTATCGGGATCGGCTAAGATGTGGATATAGTTCCCATATATATCCTTAATCCGATTTCAGGTTAATTGTGCAAATAATGGCTCAGATGAAGTGAATTTCGGGACGTACATTTCGATTTTGTGGAACTCGGTCCGAAATATATTTTTTTAATATAATCCTTCTCGAAGCGATATCATGCATTCTATAGCAATATTATTTGGTATAAAAAATAAAAATGTCTCCGTCAAATTTAGTGAAAATCGTTTCAGAATTGGATATGCCTCCCATATATTATATATAAGTTCCTTCTGAAACCAAACTATAACTGCTCTATATCCAAATGTTGATAGGTGGTATGATCTCCTTCAAATAAATTGTTTTGTCACGAGAGCTCTACTAAATATGCATAGTGGTGTAGGGTATCATATAGTCGGCCCCGCTCGACTTTTGACTTTTCCTTACTGGTAGTATGTTTACATTAGAGATTTTTGTTCTTTTCAAAACTTTATCCGATCAACTCCAAATTCAGTTTTGTAAGTGAAAACCAATGGCTATTATAAATTGGACTCAGCAAATTCGAAAAATTGCTCAATATCGAAAAAATAATACAAAAATGCATCTGGAATAGGTTCTTTGGACAAATAATGCATTCTTCCCTTTTGATATGTGTGCATTTTTCTTGAATTATCACAGACTCTGAAGGTTTAGTTAAAATTCCATTCAAAGACATCATCTAACCTAGAGGTTTCTATTGTTTAGAAACAAATTTTAAGATTTTTGCATAAAAACGGTAGCAATTCTAGCATCATTTGCATTACCGGATAAACGAGTGTTTTTTCAAAACAAACCCAAACAGACATTCATCAAAAAAAAAAAAATTTGTCATATCAAAAACTAATTTTAGAAGTGGCCTCCTTTAAAAAGAATATTCACTTTTCACAATTGCATTGGCAGTTTAAATCAACCGGTTTTACTTAATTCGGTAAAATATAAACAAATTATTATTCTTAGTACGACTTTCTGAGACTAATTATCACAAACCCTTAAGTTTTACATAGAATTCCATTAAAAAACATCTTCTAACCTAGAGGTTTATAGTTTTTAAAAACAAATTTTAATATATTTGCATAAAAACGGTAGCAATTCTTGTGTCATTAGCATATACCGGATAAACTGGTGTTTTTTTTTTTTTTTCAAAAAAAAAAACAAACAAAACATTTATTAAAAAAAGCCTTGTCATATCAAAAACTAATTTTAGAAGTGGCCTCCTTTAAAAAGAATAACAATGCAATTGCATTGGCAGTTTAAATCAGCTGGTTTTACTGAATTCGGTAAAATATAAACATATTATTATTATTCTTAGTAAGACTTTCTGATACTATTTATCATTCATAGACCCTGAAATTTTAGTTAGAATGCCATTCAGAGACATCATCGAACCTAGAAGGTGAAATTGTTTTCAAAAACAAAATTTTAATTTCTTTGCATAAAATCGGTAGCAATTCTAGCTAGCATCATTAGCATATTGTTTATCCGGTGTTGGGTCAAAACAAACCCAAACAAGACATTCATCAAAAAAGCCTTGTCATATCAAAAAATAAAACAGCTTTTTAGAAATGACCTCCTTTCAAAAGAATATACATTTTTCACAATACGTATGTGTATTATAATTATAAACTGTTGAGACCATTTGATCTTTGTTGTCTTCTTTTTGGTTCAATTGGACAGACAGACGGACGGTGGTGATAAGAAAAACATTCTGTGTCTAACGACTGATATACAGTTCGCGTTGTTGCTACATGCATGTGTGTATGGCCATCATAATTAGCATTGATTCAAAATGGAATTTGCAATGCCGATAACGAGCCGAACCAATGAACGCTCCGCTCCGTGTACACCTTTGACATGGTTTAAGTCGATTCTGAGACATTAAGAATAAGAAGCAGAAGCAACGGTCACAGAAGAATCACAAAACATGAGATAAGAAACAGTCTATAAATAATAAAATAATTACACTATACCCATCAAAAAGGTGGTCGATAGTCTTGTCGTCGTCTTCGCTTTGACACTTCAACTAATGAGATCCGCATACATATATTATAATTTCGAAAACACTTTAAACATTTCGCTTATCAATAAACCAAGAAATTTCCATTGTTAGTTGTGAAAAACAATTACTAATCTTCAGTCGTTTTGATTTGTTTGCTTTTGATTTTGTTTTACTGTAACAAAATATAAATTACAGTAAAGAACAATTGAAAACAATTTTTATAACTTCAGAACGTATTGCTATGGAGAGAACATACACGAACCATACATATATATGTATAGCCGAAATCACTTTCAGAGAATTTGATGATTGGTAGACGGATACTCACAATACGTTTGGAAGGGTTTCCTACCTTTTGTTCAATTTTTTTTGTCCTGGGTAACTTCTGTTACCACCCCTAAAAAAGAAAAATAACAGACTCTTTTCTAAGAGTTATAAGAGACAACCACCTCTTTTTTTCTTAGGTCTCTTTAGTTTTCCCAATACCAATTTTGGAACGATCAACGATCGACACTTTGGCATTTTTAGTGCCAACCTTGCTTTTCAAAATACTTCAGACACAATAGTCCAACGGATTGGTATCCGGAGATTTTGGTGGCCATTGTGCGCTGGAAACGAAGCGAGAAACCCAAACTTGCCGAGGCATTTGTGCCTTTTTAATTCGGGCTTGTTCTATCCTTTTGGTGCACAATTAACTTGAAATCGGATTAATATATATATTGTTATATTGGAGCTATATCCAAATCTGAACCGATGTCGATAAAATTTGGCAAAGTTATTTCTGAGCTGTATTTGATATATTTCCCCGAATATCGTTACTACCGAGTGCATATTATGGCTGTGCAGGACAAATTCAACAAATCGGATAAACAATATATATAGGAGCTATAGCTATATCTGAACCGATTCTCATCAAATTTGACATACTTTCTGTTTCTAGACCCAATTTGGTCGTAAGTGCCAAATTCCATCCCGTTTGGTCCACTATAAAAGGAAAATCGGACGAAGATATATATGGGAGCTATATCCAAATCTGAACCGATCTCGATAAAATTTGGCAAATGTATTTCTGTGGTATATTTGATATATTTCACCAAATATCGTTACTACCGAGTGCATAATATAGCTGTGCAGGGCAAATTCAACAAATCGTATGAACAATATATATGTGGGAGCTATAGCTATATCTGAACCGATTTCGATCAAATGTGGAATACATATTTCCAGCCTTAAGTTGGTCGTATATGCAAAATTGCTTCCTATTTGGGCTAATATTACACGTTTGGTGCACAATAAAAAGGCAAATCGGAGGAAGATATATATGGGAGGTATATATAAATTTTGACCTATTATCCCCAAATTGAATAAGGTTCTTCCTTGGGTCAAACAAATGATTTGTGCAAAATTTCATCTAGATCGGGACAATAAATGCAACCTGTACTTCGTTTACAAAAATACATGGACAGGCGGGAAGACGAACGGACATGTATAAATCGACTCTGAACATGATTCTATGCAGATCATCAAATGGAACTATGGGTCTATCTCGTTTCCTTTTGCCTGTTACAAACAAATGCACAAAGACATAATACCCTGACCACCTTGTGGTGCAGGATATAAATATTTAAATAAACAAACAGTTCCTGAGGGTATACATCTATCAGCAAACCCATGATTTCAACTCAGGCAAATTTCTTTTTAGTTGTAGACCAATAAGAAGATGAGATAGTGGATAGTTCGAACTCTTTGCTACACAAAATTTCAATGTAGGGTCCCACATCTATTCAATGACCACGAACTAATATTTCGGGAATATGCCATCCTCACCTTTCCACTTTGCAAACAAAGTCTTTGTTATCTTGTTTACATGTCATAGCCCTAATAAAACAATCTTGGAAAATTTAAAGCCATTGCATTATACTAAACATCAACTATGTGATTATAACTCATAATTGCAAAATGAGTCGAAATTCTTCTAAAGAAAGGGTTATAAATAAATTTCTTTTCCGCTCTAAAAAAACTACTTTTATTTGCGAAAAACCCAACATTTATCTAAAAAGTCGAAATTCTTCTAAAGAAAGTGTTATAAATAAATTTCTTTTGCGCCCAAAAAAAACTACTTTTATTTGCGAAAAAACCCAACATTTATCTAAAAATTGCTACTTTATCTACAAAAATTTTCTTGAGCACAAATATAACGATAAATACCAGATGGTCATAATTGTCGGTTTTATGACTTCAATTTTCTAATCTACAAATGGCCAATGTGACTAAACTACTCAATATTGGCCATAATGGTTACGTCACAATGGTTATAAAAATAAAACAATAATTATTAATCGTTTGATAACCAATTACCTTTGTCCTTTTCGATATTTCTTTTTTGCAGATGAAGACCACTGCTTCGTTCCGCAAAGAAAATGCTGCTTTGGTACATGGCTTGTGTGTCGAACATGTTCGTGAACAATTCACCAATGGCAATGTCATCAACGTCCTGAAAAACTGTGATCAATTGGGTCGCCGTGTTCTCATTGTGAACTGTGGCGAATTATGGAATCCCAGTCAAGTGCCAGCCGATGATGTCTTCCGTATGCTGTACTTGGTGCACATTGCCGCCCAGCTAGAAATTGAAACACAAATTCGTGGTGTTGTATGCATTATGGATTTCGAAGGCTTGTCGATGAAACAAATCAAAGCCCTGTCGCCCACATTCTCGAAACGTTTGCTGACATTCATTCAGGATGCCATGCCATTGCGTACCAAGGAAATTCACTTTGTAAAGCAACCTTTCCTTTTCAAAATGGTTTGGTCATTGTTCAAGCCTTTTGTCAGAGAGAAATTGAATAAGAGAGTAAGTTGGATTTTTGAAAACGATTGCAGCCTTTGGCATCAATGACTAATTAAATTGTTTGTTTCTTCAAATTTAGATGCATTTCCATGGCAGCGACATGAAATCATTGCAAAAATTCCTTTCACCCGAAATCCTGCCTGAAAATTACAAGGGCAAATTACCAAAGATTGACTATAACGGCAAGGATTGGATTCAAGCTGTGGAAAAACACGAAGATTACATCAAAGAATGGTCTGAATTTGGACCTGCAAAATGGTAAATTTTACCATTCATCCATTGCTTTGTAGTTTTAAGTTTCACTAAATCATTCCTTCCTTAAGAACCTCTTATTAGATTTGAGTTTGTTGCTTATAAGTACCTAGAGTGTAAATAAAAAAAGAAAACGTTTTAAATAAATTTCATCTGAGTGTCTTTCTTTTTTTGTAACTAAATTTATTCGTACTTTCTCTGGGGTTTTCTATACGAAACATAACAACAATATTTTCTGTTTTAATATCTCTTGAAAATGCCAATGCTTTTTGTGAACAAATTTAATGTTTAGAAGAAACCACATTCTAGTTTTACCTAGCGCTGTAGGTATAAAATGAAAAAGTTAATAAATCTTAATGACAATATCCACCATTTCGTTATTTCAATTCATATTAATATTTCTATGAAAGGGGGAAATTGATTGGCATAACAATAATTGTTGATTGTTTCTGAGGGGGGTTTCTTTCACTTTGTTTTTTTTTTTTAAACAAAAAACTAGTATTAATAAATATGTATGTAGTACTTTGCTTTTGGCATAAAATAACAAAACAATAAAATAATTACAATAGATAAGCTAGTTCCAATTAGGCATTAAGAGTGGTTTCCACATTTTGCACATAACCTCAATTGTGTAGGTAATTGTTATTAGTTTGGGTTGCCGATGATGGTGGTGTTACATTATTCTAAAATGTGAGTGTTCCGTTGGAGTCTTTGTTGTTGTTGTATTTATGGTATTTATATTACTCCTCCCTCCTGATGATCGATGGCAGGTTTATTTCTTGTTGTTGTAATAATGGCATAATATCTATTCAAATGAGTTCTTCTTGTGGAGATTTTATGATTTATAGAATCATATTGGCTGGATCCTCAATAAAGTCACGGAAATATTGTAGCCATTTGGCTGCAACGGCACCATCAACGGTTCTGTGATCAGCGGAGAGTGTTACATTCATTACATTAACTTCTTTGAAGCTGGGGGAAAAAGAACAATTTGTTATTATTTACAAATCTAGAGAGCTGCATAATTTTCACAGCACTTACCCCTTAAGACTGTCTGGATCAGGCAAAAGTTTCTTGGATGTGGTGCCTACTGCCAAAATGCAAGACTGTGGTGGATTGATTACAGCACAAAATTGTGAAACGCCTAAAATTATGCAATAGAAACATAAATAAATCAATAGAGTTTTTTTTTTGCAAACAACCATACAGTGTTTAAGGATGGTACTGTATTGTCAGTGTCAACACATGTGGTGAATATATAGTTTTAATTCTATTCTAAAATACAGGGTGAGATGAAAAAACTGCAACGAAAACAGTGGCCGAAAAATGGCTCATGAGCTGAACATATCGCAACATTCCATTCGACAAATACTGAAAAATAACCTCGGGGTAAAGCCATTGAAATTACAAAAAGTGCAAGAACTTACATCACAACAGAAAGAAAATAGACTCAAAAGAGCTAAAGAGTTGTTTCGCCGAAAGTGGTGAAGTACCGAATTTGGTTTTCTCCGTCTCCGATGAGAAAAAATTTGTTGTCCAGCAATTTGTAAACAAACAAAATTATCGTGTTTACTTGTCAAAGTGGTCAGCTGAAAATGTGCACTATCGGTTGGCCACCAGAACTTAAGCGTCGGCCATGGTGATGGTGTGGGCCGCCATAACAGCCGATGTTCATATTAATCGACCGTGGCATGCATGAATAAATGCCGAATATTATTGCGAAAATATTCTGGAGGGTGTATTAATTTTGGCCTCAGACCTTGGACATTCCAATAGAAGTCAGCACAATCGCACTCAGCAAACGCCACCCAAGAATGGGTACAAAATGAGGTTCCTCGCTTCATTTCCAGAGCACAATGGCCACCAAAATCTCCAAATACCAATCCGTTGGACTATTGTGTCTGGATTATTTTGGAAAGCAAGGCTGGCATAAAAAATACCAAAGTGTCTATCACCTCAAGCAAGCGCTTCGCAGGGAATGGACCAAAATACCGCAGAGCAACATTCGGGCAGCGTGTGACGGTTTCATTGGCCGTTTGAAGGCCAAAGGTGACCAATTCAAACAAGTCTAAACTTATTCTAAAATTTGATGATATTTCCGACATTTGTTTTCGTTCAATAAAATTTAGAAAAAAATGAAAAAATTATGGCGTTTGACTTTGTTGCAGTTTTTTATCACACCCTGTATATTTGCCGCGTACATTTAAACTTCCAAGGCCGCACTTATAAGCTGACTTAATACCACTTTATATTATTCACAGACGACCTTGCATCGTATATTGTCTATAGAAGATCTTGGGGGGCTTTGTTGTCTACAGACTTTAAAGCCTATACAAGAACTTTGATCTCACTGAGTCTTCTATTGTCCCTATGAACTTCTATTGTCCTTGCAAGACATATTAGGGAAAAATTGTCACATTCGATATCGAAAAAAATTTGATAGGAATAAAATTAGCGAATGCGCATTTAATATTGATTATTATAAAAGTTATTTTTTTCTTATTTTTGACCCTAACATTCGAACTTTAGCCTATTACGATCGAATTTTTTTTAAAAACGCTCGTAGGAATTTAGCCTTTGCTTTTCACTTTTCATAAAAGAAGTCGAAATATCAAAGTGATTTTATAAAATAAGGAGATCTAATATTGTCCTCAGAAAAAGACGGAAACGATTTCTAAGAATTCGGGGCTTAACAAAAGACCTAAAGGCTCTCTATTGGTTACATAGACTTGACTTGTAAGAATGATTAAACGTCGTCTATTCTCGTGGAGTAAATCAATTGTTGCAGACTTACCGAACATGCCCAAATTGGAGACACTAACAGTGCCGCCTTGGAATTCTTGTGGTTTGAGTTTGTTTTCTCTGGCCTTGACGGCCAACTCCTTAATTTCCTTGGAAATGTCAATGACACCCTTGCGATCAGCACTGAAGACGATCGGGGTAATTAAACCACGATCGGTTGACACGGCAACAGAGACATCAACATTGTCGAATCTGCAAAAATTAAAAATATTGAACACAATAAATGCTAAATTGTTTTAATTATAACTCATTGCTTGCTTACTGTCTAATAACATTGCCCATCCAGTAGCTATTGGATTCAGGTACCTTGCGACAAGCAATGGCAGTGGCCTTGATAATGAAATCGTTGACGGATACTTTGACACCTTGCTTTTCATATTTCTTATTGATTTTCTCGCGGAGTTTCATGAGCTAAAAAATTTAAGAAAATATATGTGAAATTTTTAATATTTTTACGTGTGGATAGTAGCTTACATTGTCCACTTGGCATTCAACGGTAACATAGTAGTGAGGTATTTGTTGCTTGGACTCCAAGAGACGCTTGGCAATAACACCTCTAATGTTACTGACCGGTATATCGATATAGCCACCTTGTGGAGCAACTGGAGCAGCAGCGGCAACACCAAACGAGGGCGCAGCAGCCATGCCTGCAAGATCGGAGGATTTTATTGAGCCATAAACACCACTGCCACGACCTACATGCAAAGGTATGGAATTAGTCAATTCAAAGCGGCACAGTTAAAAACACAAAAAGGATTTCAATAGTAAACCTTCTAAACGTAATTGCTGGGCTTCGGCCAATTTCTTAGCCATTGGACTGGCGTAAACGCGAGGACCACGTTGTTCAACGGCGGTCATGGGCCTACCTCCGGCTGGGGCTGCGGCTGGTGGAGGTGGTGGGGGAGCAGCCACAACTACTGGTGGTGGTGGTGGTGGGGGTGCAGCAGCAGCGGGAGCTGGAGCGGCAGCAGGTTTGGGTGGAGCAGCAGCGGCTCCTGTATCCTTGAAGTCCTTAAATGCAGCAACATCGGATTCTTCTTGTACGATAATACACATCAATTTGCCAATTGCCACATCTTTTGTACCGGCAGGAATTATGATTTTGGCCAAGTAGCCTTCTTCAGGTGTCTCAAAACCCATAGTTGCCTTATCGGTTTCAATTTCGGCCAAGAGGTCACCTAAGAAAAAAATTTTAATTTGAGGCATTTTTTTGTAAAAATGGTACCAGGGGGGATTTAAACACGAACCTTCGTTCAGCTTGTCACCTTCCTTCTTTTCCCAACTGACAATTGTGCCCTGTTCCATGGTAGGCGACAATGCGGGCAGTGATACCTTTATGTGATCGGGATAATCGGCATAAGCACGCACCAAATTCACGCTCCATGCTCCCAATGGCTTAGTTGGTGCAACCAAAATTTGTCTTGAGGCTCTATAAAGAAAAAAAGGGGATCATTTTTATAAAATTAAAATAGAACAAGTTAAATGAAATCAGAGGGTATTAACGACAGCTGCATTCCCTCATCCCAATGTTCGATTATTTAAATATATTTTGAGTTATGTTATGAATATTTGAATTGTTGACCCTCATGGATATTCAAAATTTTGACCCTTTGTGGGGGAGGTACCAGAAGGAGTGGGCCGATATATCACATCTTCACATCAGATCTTGTGTTATAAGAAATAATGGGATGTGTGAAATAAGAAGAAAACCAAATTTCTATTTCGGATTTTATGATCGTTTTGGTTATTCAAAACTTTGACACTTTGTGTGGGAGGTACCAAAAGAAATGGTCCGATCTCTACCATATTTATAACAGATCTTGTGTTGTTGGAAATATTGAAATGTACCACATATGGAATGGAATCGGATGTTAATTTTGCATTTTATGAGCTTCACGAATATTCAAAATTTTTACCCTTTGTGGGGGTGATATCGGTGAAAGAGTGGACCGATATATTCCATTTTCACACCAGACCTTGAATTAATAAAAATATTACGATGTGTTTAATTGTGAGACATTCGGACACTTACACTGCATTTTTTAAGAGTTATAATTATTCAAAATTTCTCTCCCTTTGTGGGAGAGGTACTTGATGGAATGGACCGATATTGTTCATTTTCACACCTGACGTAGCACTGATGCAAATTTTAGGATTCACAAAGTTGGAACAAAATCGGATTATCCCTTATCTTTCTGTGCAGTAAATTATTTTCTTTGAAAATGCTGTGATTTTGTGGAGGAGGGACCAGAAGGAGTGGACCGATATTGTCCATCCCCAAACTCGATCTAAGTTTGACAATATTATTACGATGTATCAAGTTTGGATCAAATCCACAAGCCACCCAGCCAGACAGACGGATGGACGGACATCGCTAGATCGACTCCAAATGTCCTGAAGAGGATTTTGTCCAGTTAGCTAAGGCACTGAGTTCATTTAGTATACTTTATTATAATTATACCTTACATTTCTCCTTCGCTCAATTAAACTTCAGTTTTAAGGGACATAGTAGTAGTAGTATTTTGGAAAGGTAAGAGCAATAATTTGGCGTCAATTTGGTTGACCCCCATAATGGGCCCTTTTTCGACTTTTTGGCGGTTTTATAAAAAATCCTAGTCCAAGAAATAAATAATTTGACTACAACTACCGAACCGCTAAAAATTGGCGTTCCAGGTCCGTCCCCCAAGAAAATAAAAATTGTTTCCCGGAATCAGGGTAAAAATCGATGAATTTTTACTAGAGTAACATCTGAACATTTATTTTCCTATGTACATTGAAAGCCTCAACTTCTTGTAAAATTATGTATAGCAAAGGTCTACCACTCTCAAAAAAGTTATTTATAGGCATAAGCGTCGCCATTAGTACACTATTACAAGAGAAAAATCTCTTTCCGTAAACGGAAAACACACCTACTCAAAAAAATGTGGACTTGCCAATTCTGATTACTTTGTCATTTTCTCATTCAAAAAGATATTAAATCTATTGGCCAAGAATTGGATGTCAGCCATAGTTCACAAAGAAAGGCTAACAATGTAATCAAATGATTTAACATGGTCATCTTATTTAGATCTCTTTAGACAATACAATTTAGCAAATTCAATAAACTTAAAAGGATATATAAAGGATTCCTTTGTGCTTCCATGGGCCAACACCATGGTATCAGCTGATTTAGTAAATTGTTACAACGACGTCAGCGTCTTCCTCATCATATGTTATCACATATATTACAGAATATTGGAAAATTTTACCGGCTTTTTTTGATAATCCGCTAGTGGTACAATAAATAAATACATATCTCTTAAACAACCAATAATACATTATCGCATTATCAAATAAATATGTATGTGGGGCCACCAACTAAACAATAACAAAACAATATGTAAACAAATAAATTGTTTTAAGTAAACATATGTTATAAACTAGGAAAAGAAAAAAATAGAGAGATAGCAAACTACCTATGTAGACCCCCCCCCCCCCCATTCTGGCGCTTTTTCCATGCCACTAGCGAATGACATCAATGACGACAACACAATGTGACTGATAATAATCAGGCATCATTCGACTAACGAATGTTGTATCGAATCATTAATATGGAAAGCAGTTTTTGTCGTTATGCTTTTTTTACACTTCACCCCTTTCTGACCATAACATGCCCCTCAGCGATCAGCTTTCTATCAATTAACTTTGAAACAGCTATGCCGACTAAATGTTATTGCAAATTAGGGAAAACTAATATTTTTTGTTTGTTAGCAGACATCAACCCCACTCCGCCGTAGCGAAAAAATCACAATTTTCCCTGTCTTTCATCACCAACGACAACCGACTGACATTGAGATTACACAACAGTTTATAACCTTAAAAGTGCAACAAAAATTGCACTTGCACTCCCGGCCACCACAGAGGCCTCCTGGCAATCTATGCCGGAGTAATTACATTGTTAGTAGGAGCCCACCTGATTAAGGGCACAGTTCTGGCGACTTGTGAACTGAGTGCTCGAACAGCGGCTGAACGTGATGCCTTGGACGCAGCGCTGCGAAGAATCCATTCGTTACGGCTTGCGATTGTCCTCAACATTTTTGCACACGAGAACACTTCTTCCTTTCTAATCGAGTTATAACAGCACTTTTTCTCGTTACGTTTCGCTTTCTCGGCAATCGACACTTTTCGTTTTATCTACAATGTTTTTGTTGGTTGTTGGAAAGTAACCCAATCGAAACCCGATTTCCACCGACCTTATAAAACCAGCAGTAGGTCAAATTCGTATCGAACTACAAAAATTTTAGCAAAAAAACAGTTGTCAAATGACTGTCAGAATGTGCAAATTGATTATGCTGCTTCTTATTCTCGTTTAAATGGAACGTGAAACAGATAACACGAGCGCATAGCGTCCAATGAAGTGGCATTTGACGTGTGAATAGACGGCGCAGATGGGAAGTGTTAATTTCATAAAAAAAATATACTTTGACAGTGTTTCTTGTTTTTCGATATGACGCGGTGCAATAATTTTACAGCAAAGATCTAAACCAGGCCGATGCAATTGTCGGGCATTAACTAAGAGATGTCGCTAAGTGTCATGGTGACAATTATTTATTCAGCCCAATCATAAGTATATTCCCCGAATTCTTTTCTCACGGAAAACATATTTTTCGAAATATCATTCCCCTAATCAAAAATACTTGGAGAGAGATATTTATTGGGCAAACTTAAAATTAGAAAAAATATGTTATAATACCATATAACTTCTTATCAAAGTTATCCAATATAAAAATTGGACATCCTCTTACGATAACCGATAAATAAAGGGAGTAAAGGGGAAATCGGTTATCGTAGAAAAAAACTTTTACATCATTTCAGTTCTGGGACAGACTAGATTTATCCTCGCAAAGTCTGGTTTATTTGAGCTGCAAACATGGCACAATAAGGAGGTATAACAGCTTCGTAAAGCTACAGAAATGCAGCCCTGAGGTTAGGCCCGCTTCCTGTTAGACTCATTCAAAATTATTTGCAACAAGTTGTTTTAATTTTTTTCTTTATTTTTCATCATTTTTAAAATAAGTTAAATAGCGCAAAAACTGAATGAAATGCCTGGATTTTTGCTAAAAAAAAATATGATCCAAACTGTTCAATCTTTCAATTTCATGGTTAAACTGGGTTAAAAGCTTTAACGTGCGACGCGCAATCGACGTGTCTTGCAATTATTGTTTTTGAAAATATTTTGTTTTCATTTTTCATAACAATAAATACATACACAAAATTGGCAGAAGTCGGGTACACTTAGAAAAAAATGTAATCAGCTGTACCATGGATATTACCGAAATACGTATAGCGCATGGTAGAAGAATACAGGTAGTCGCATCGACACAGCTGCTGGGACAATGAACTGTCAAACTAATTTTGAAATTTACTATTTTAAATGAAAATTATTCAAATTTGTGCAAATTAAACAAAACATGGTAGAATAATACAGATAGACGTATCGACACAGCTGCTGGGATAATGAACTGTCAAACCAATTTTGAAATTAAAATTTTTGAATGAAAAATTATTCAAAAACACATAAAAATGTACTTATTTTTGTCAAAACATTAAAAAAAATTGAATGAAATTTCAATGTTCCGAAGTTAACTGTATTATTCTACCATGAAACAGAACAAAGCTTATAGTATGTTTACAATTGGTCTGTTCCAGACAGAACAAAGCTTTTAGCATGTTTACAGTTGTTCTGTTCCAGAATGTAAAAGCTTTTGCTACGATCACCGATTTTCTCTTTATGATATCGGAGAATATTGCAAAACTAGTAAATTATTGATGGTTCTGGAAGAGACCAAGTATATTTTGCTGAGATAACCTCATTTATCTTGGTATAAATATAGACAATAGACAGGTAACTACGTAACTACGACTGAAATACAACCCTGACAACATGTCCGTTTTTTGTCAGATTTATTAAAAATTACAAAAAAGTAAGTTTTCCCATTATTCATTTTTCTTCATTTTTAAAATTAACTAAAAATACTTTCGAAGCCATAAAATGACAACCAGCACAAATTCAATTAACAAAAAAGCACTTAAGACCGGGGGCCGGAACTTTTGATACCCTCCACCAATAAGAATACAAAACGAGAAACGAAAATACAGGGTGAGATACAAAACTGCAACAAAGTCAAACGCCATAACTTTACACATTTTTTTTTAAATTTTATTGAATGAAAGCAAAAAATCTCGGAAATAGCATCAAACTGCTGGACAATGAATGTTTTCTCATCAGAGAAACCCGAGCTCAATTTTAAATATTTACCGAATGGAAGATTGCGATATGTTCAGCTCACTAGCCATTTTTCGACCACTGCGACGCGTGTTTCGACCAAGTCGCTTCTTTGCTTTACGAACCATTTCTGCTGATGTTGCTGGTTTAATTATTATTTTTTTTTTCCAAACAAACAATTCATGGTGTATTGTAACGTATGATCTATATAATAACAAGATATTTTATCAAGTATTCGACAGTCGTCGATAGTTGCAAGGAATTCTGTTACAAGATTTCTTTATTCATAAGATTTGAGAGTATCACCCAACCACATCACATGTTTAGATTATTTATTTTTATCTTTCAGGTGTAACAAACAAGTTAAATCTGTGACTATTTTATAGTTATAAATAATTGATAAAAAAAAATCAATATAGGTACATTTTAATTTCAAATAATTGGAGAAAAATATTAATTTAAGATATTAACATTCATGCTAAGATTGCCACTTCTTTATATATATAAAATCAATTAATAATCAATGCATTTCTTAAAATTAGATATTCGCACAACTTATATTCACAATTTTTCTAAATTTTGTCTAAATCTTTTTTATTTGTTTTTGCATTTTTTGTCAATTGTATCCCATCATTTGGATTATCGACTTTACAATATTTAAAAGGGAAACCATATTGAATTTTTGTGAAGATTAGGTATTTGGTTATAGTCTGGATAATATCATGTACTTTCACTAGGATCCAATATTTCCGTAAAATGTGTACTTGGGGTGAAAACCAACATCATATCCATTTTTATAAGCAATGACTGCATATTCCGTTACATCTTCATTTGGGTGTTGGTTTAGGTAAGCAAAGACGCCGTGTCACATTAATTCCTTTTCTGTGAGGAGATGCCTAATTAAAAAAATAAATAAATTATAAGTTTTATTACACTTTTTTCGTTAAAAATAAAATCCAACAGTATCCATATACTTTACTTATTTACTTCCATAGTTCAACTCCTTTTAGTTCCGTTTAAGTATAGCCCCCATTTGCCACATACACTAAAAATTTGATATACGAAGGACATTTTTGATTTATGGAATCCATCCTTCATCCAATGAGTTTCGTCCCACATTGAATGTACTTCAACATGTGCCGGGTTGTAAATGCACCAGAGCACCTGATGAAGTACAATAGACATGGGACATCTGACTAGTTTGGTCACACTACATCCATAAAGCGCCAAGAGACTGAATGTCGAACTCCTTTTTTTGCATTTCACATTTTTTCTTTTGCAACGAAACTATTCATGTAGGCAGCTCCATGATGTCAGTGACTAAAACTTCGCGCGCTACTTCAGGTACCTGACTGCACTTTTCAATATTCAGCCCCGGTCTCTGATTAGCGCGCAGAGTGATAGACATTTTTATTAAGGAAGTCATTACTATTTTTTTTTTTTTTTTTTTGGTTTCTTCTATTTTTGGCACTAAACTTTGACACTCACATATATTGTAATCGGCCACACTTACGAACACACTCACCTGAAGAAATCGTAGTTATGTTAAGCTTTTTGAGTTGTGCCATTGCATACATACAGCGTGTGTGTGTGCGCGCCAGTGAGATGGAGAGATAGAGAGAGCAAGACTTATTATTCTCTTGTGCGGTTTGTTGTACATACGACCTTGTGTCCGCGCCTTGTAAAAATGGTTAAGGTCAACGATCTACACATTAAAAAAAGTTCGCGGCGGCAAAATTGCGCAGATCAATGCGCGTGCGGCATTTACTGGCTTCAACGTCGTCGGCAAAACCAAATGAGCAAAGACTCTGGGGTATATGTGCATTGACGTATGTTTTTCGCTGTTGCGGTTGAGGTTTCTGCGCTGTCCCCGACTTGTTTTTTTTTTACAAAACTCATGAGCCTTACTCACCACCATTCCTACAGTTCGTGTCAGTCGGCTGATTTACATTTGTGTGGAAAGCTTAGTTTTCGTTTCTTTCTTTTTTTCGTTTAAAAAAAGAGCTAAAGAGAGAGAGAGAAAGGGGAATTGTGTTAATGAGTCGATGCAGAGTTGCCAAAATTTGTATTTAATTAAACGAGTTTTAATCTTCCTCCCGGAAATGCCATTCACAACCGTACAAACCTATGTATTTTTGTTGTTGTTGAAATTAATTTGTGTTTCAAGTTAATGAACTACTTGTTTTTAAATTATTTTTTTACGATATTTTATGGTTCATGTGGTACTTCTATGGAAATTTGGTGTGTGTTGGGTTTATTGAAATATCTTTTCTCAATTGCTGTTTTTTTTTGCCTCCATTGGCAACGAAACATCGAGTTTTATACAGTCGACTCCGAATAATTTATGTTTGTAAATAGAGGTTTCCCAACAAGGGTTTTTTCAGGTGCAATTTCTTAACACAAATAAAATTTTTTTTGGCATCCTGCGTCTATTTTTAAATAAACAAAACACTTAAATTATTTATGTTAAAAAATGCAACATTTAAGGAATGTAGTGGCGTATTGCTGCAGGAATATAAAGGCGTATTGCAGCCGATGATTTAAAACAATAAAAAACTTGTTTTTTGTATTTTGCATCGTTTTTAGTCTTCGCCCGGGCCCTCCACCATTTCGAAGGAAATTGAAAAAATTAAAAAAAAAATCCGAAAACCGCTATATGGGGCTTTACGAAGACGTGGACCTGCATTTTTTTTTTTTTTTTTCATGGGCTGTAGTGCTCATTTCGAACTTCAAATACGAAATTTGTTACAATTACGGCGAATAATGTCGCTAAATTCATCAAAATACCGACTATCGGAAGGTACCGTATTTTGGGGGCTATACGAAGACGTGGACCTGCATACGAAATTTTTTATCATAGACTGTACCATCCGTTACGAACTTCAAATACCAATTTTGAAACAATTCCGGCGAATAATATCGCTAAAATCATCAAAATACCGAATATAGGGTGGTACCATTATATGGGGGGCTATACGAAGACGTGAACCTGCTCAGACAAATTTTTGTCATAGGCTGTAGTACTCATTACGAACTCCAAATACCAAATTTTAAACAATACCGGTAAATAATGTCGCTAAAATCATCAAATACCAAATATATATAGCTATACGAATATGTGGTAACGACCTGGCCCATTTACGAACTTAACCTGCCTACTGGTAAAGTATGCATCTATGCAAAATTTTAGCCTTCTATCTCAATTCGTTTCAAAGATAGCGTGAATTTTACGCTGATCCAGAATATCTATACATTGTAGGGTCTATTATGCATATTTCGAGGAGTTACAAACGGAATGACAAAGTTAATATACCCTCCATAAAAAAATGGTGGAGGGTATAAAAACCGTGCGTTTGACAATAAATAGAGTACGCAAACAAAAAGAGCTGGAGGGAAGATTACATGTTTGTGAGTGTGTTTTACTCAAAATTAAAGTTCCTCAAATAGGTCATGATAATGCAAAATAAACATAGGCGTATGGTGGTTATGCGTCATACGCTTTTCGCGTTATTGAATCTTTAGCCTCATTGGGAATCCCAACAGAGAGCATAGATTGCCATTTTTGTTGACATTTCTTTTTTTCTCATTTGACGTTTTTCGTGATACTCCACCCAAAAGAGAAGTAGGGGAAACAAATGTAACAAATCTCTGCTTTAAGTATCAATTGCTTCGCTGTAAAATGTAAAACTACAAATTAAATTCCCGTTGCAAAAGAAAAACCATTCGATTTCTGCCTCTTGACTATTTTTCCATTTTCTTCTTCTTGAAAACTAAAAGAAATTCCAATAATTTATATGCATTTCAATTAGCTGGAGTCGACTGTACACGAGCAAGAAGTTTATGTACAATGATCGCGAAATTTAGTGTTGGGCGGACAAACGATGTTGGAACACAGTAATTGCGGTGAGTAATACGAATTCTAAGTAATTGCGATAAAAGGATATGACGTCATGCCTTGAAAAAATAATGTACATATGATCACGCATGCACACATACACACACCCCGTTGAGTGTAGGGAAAATAAACTTCATTTGAAAAGTGATTAATTAAAGGAGATTTTTAATTGCTATCGATGTGATGATGCTGCTCTGGCCCATTGAAAATTATGTTTTTCATTTTCCTTTATTAACTTTTTTCACATGCTTAGCATATTTACTCTTGCCGACAAGGTAAACCCAGAAACGACCCTGATTTTCTAAATTTGAAACATTTGCATGCTGGCAAACACGCCAGTCAGCCTGCCTCCTATGCTTGGGAAAAACGACCAATAAAAAGATCACTTCTCTCTTTTTCATGATTCCCATGATATACCTACCACTTAGTAGCTAGTCAGCCAGCCAGCCAGTCCCAAGCACCACCACCAACCATATGGTTGGCTGACTGGTTTTCTTGCTGTACTCCTCCTTGCCGGTCTTCGGCTGTTGCACCAATCTTTCTTGTGGTGTCTTTCGCCGCCTTTCAGCGCTTGAATTTTTCAATAACCAAAAGAAATAAAGAAGAAATGTTCAAGTTTTTCTCGCCGTTGTTACCAGGCAGCGGAATACGTGAGCTGACTGACTGACGGCTGGCTGGTGGTAGCGGTGGCTGGCTGATCATGTTTTTTCTACACATTATTTCTGTTTTTTTGCTTTTTGCTTTTTGAAATGAGCACACAGGCGGCCTCAAACTTATTTCGCTTTACAGATAAAGATTCGCAATTTCTCTCACCAATACCAAGGCTCCAATAATACAAAACACGTGCCCCACTACATTGGCAAAAATGGCAAACATTTTATTTTATTTTTTTTTTTTTGTTTCTTTTCGTGGGTACTATTGTTTAAACAAAATTTCTCTGATAAAGTTGCTCTAGCTACAGATAGTTAGTTATTTGTTGTATTTTGCAAAATATCATTGGCAAAGAAGCCGAAGCAGAAGAAAAGCTCTGGTGGTGCTTAGTCATGAGCGAAGCAAAGATAAAATAAAATAGAAACTCCGGGTTTTTTTTTTGCACGAACTGACAAACATGTGGCTTTTCGAAAAGTTTGCAAAATGCCAGTGATCGTCAGCAGCAGCAACAGCAGTTAAGAGTTGCCAATTTTTTATTTTATTTGTTAATGGTTTGCATGGTTCGCAGCAGATGATAGATAGGTACGCATTGTATCTAATAATTATGTTGTTTGCAGAATACTGATAAACGGCTGTGTGGTTGTGTGTTTAATTTTTTACTGAAAAAATGGCAGCTCTTTCTCTTGCTGCTGCTATTTCTTCCATCGAATATGCCTTGTTTTATTTCGCCCAACAAATTTATTATATGTCCACATACATACCCCGCGAATGTACCATATGTATGTAGAACCATATAGCAATATATTTTATATGATAGATACAAATATATGTATGAAAACGATGTGTTGGTTTTTTCGATGATTCTTCGTAGCTTGACTGGGTGGGGCACTCGGATCTTTGGGGTTTTATAACCTCACATTATTTTTTCTTTCTTTGCTAGGTTTGGTAACTCTCACAGACAAACGAAAAGTTATTAACACTTGTTTCGCGTTTTCTTTTTTTCTTATTTTGTTTCGGAATTTTTCAGACACTTACCGGCAAATTTTTTCCCGAGATTTCAAATTACAGACTCTCACAATTGCAAATGCACACAGATACACTCTTTTGCCGTGCTGTCTTTAATTCTTACCCTTGCCGTCGACTTGACTTTTTTCCTTTTGTTCTGCAAGACCAGCGCAACCGTTGCTGCTCACAAGCAACCCAGCCATATGATTAGCTAACTCTAGACTGGTGGTGCTGCCTTGATATTCGCGAGAACTTAAGCCCACCGCACCTTATACGAAACAAAATAGCAACAACAATATTCATCATCGTCTTCGTCATCATCATAAAGCAAAAAAAGAAAAATAAAACGAAACGAAAAGACCGGTCGCCCGCTCACTCGTTTGTTCGTTCGCCTGTTCGGTCTCTCGTCGTTTCGCCAATAAGTAGCCGAAGAATGTTGAAATTTCGAACAATCCAACATCTATCTTTGAGCTATGGCACTCTTTTCATTTTGTTGTTGTTTTTTTTTAAAGAGTCTACATTTTGCGAGAGAGCAAATCGAGAGACAGGGATACCAACAGCTGTTGAAAAGAAATGTGGCAACTAAAATGGGGAATCATTTACAGGTCTATTAACTTTTGAATATTTCAAAACTTCTTGCTTCTGAAATGTGGGAATTTTCCAGGTTATTAAGAAGCTAAAAATATTGCAATATGACCTAGACTACTCAAAAATATTGAAATTGAAAAATATTTATTTTTTTAACAAATGTGCATTTAGTATTGTAAGTGATCTGACTTCCTTTACCGAAGGCAAGAAAACTGAAGTCAAACAATCAAAATGGCTCCCGAAAATTGCAAAACCACAAATCTTATGTGTCTTTCTACTGCTTTTATGCTTCTTTTTCCGTTCTTTTTTTGTTCCTATGCACATACGTGTAAAGTTTGCTGCAGCGATAATACGTGGAAACGCATGGAGTTGAATGAGGCTAATATTCCTTATTTTTCAAAATTCCGTCCCCCACAAAAACGTAGTTTTTTTTTTAGCAAACTTTGCATATTGGAGTAGGGATCTGACAAATTCCGATAACAGCTATTTATCGATATTTGAAAATGTCAAAAAAAATATTTTTTGTTGATTTCTATATACTGTGTGAACCTAATGTTAGACATTTTATAGAATCGATTTACACTTGGCAGTAATAATTGAAAAGTCAGATATCAGACACAAAAACAAGTTGAATTTATTTTCCTCACAATGCACTCTCTCTCTATTCAAATGACAACTGACAGATACAGAAAATTATATAAGGGAATAATGATAAATTCAATATCCGGAAAATTTCTATATCAGTTTTGCAATTTTTGATCCCCTATTCCCCCAAAAATATATAATTTTGTATATTTTTGCATCATTTTTAAGAGAAACATTGATGGCAGCCCATGTACGTTGTCATGACGGATTCCAACTTTGTATCTCATTTCTTTACTAATCGTTCTATATCAATGCTACATATCTCTTGAAGTCTGAAGGAATCACTCGTTGGCCTAACTTCATATTACTAAAGTTAAATCTTTGCAACATTTGCATGGATGGGCAAGTGGGGGCAATTATTTTATAGAAACAATTGTTAAAAATTATTACCGGCAAGAGAATGGTCACTTGGCTTATTCAGCTTTTCTCTTCTATTAAATATATATATATTTTTGCAAATTTATCGATATCTTATAAAACTTTAATATAATGCAAACGAATATGGCGTCCATGTTATTACTTCTTAGCAAAAAAAAAAAATGGATGGGTGAAAGATAGTAGCCTGATTTTCAACAGCTGATTGGCTATGACAGATATGTTGGTATTAAAAAATCATCATCTGGTTTTGAGACAATTGGTTTCCCCCATTGTAGAAGAAGACGGGTAGTTGCACCAACGCTGGGAACTTTGATATGTCAAATTTTTTAAAACGTGTTGTCAAAAATAATAAATTAATATGTTTTCTTATACGAGGCAAATCGGAGGTTGTTTCAATCATTTCAATTCCAAAATCGGTTTGACAGTACATTATCCCAGCAGTTGTGTCGATCCGACTACCTGTATTCTTCTGCCATGGTTTCCCCATTCCGTGTTGCCTTGGCAACTGAGTTCTCTTAGATCAGCAATGCGACTTTGTATCTAGTTCAGAATAATAAACAATGAGCATTATTTATAACTGCAATTTTTAATTGCATACATGTTCGGCAATTAATGACATTTTTCGGTAGGATAAAAAAAATACCGCTCAGATTTGACGTTAGGAACTATAATTTTAATTTTTTTTTATAATTTTAACACGATCCTTTATCTGACAAAACACAAAAAGTTAAAGAATCCGCACTAAAAAGTAAAAAAAAAAACAATGAAGTAATTTATTGTTATTCGATTTTAGCCAAGATTAGCATGAAGCTACTTTAGTCTACTCCAAAATGTCCAAGGTACTTGTAATTTGAATCTGAAAAACGTGGCGTGTTATTTTTTGCAAGGTATTTTTAATGAGTGGCTGTAAATAAAGACAATAAAACCTGTATTTTTCCAAAGCCGAAAACCCCTACCTTTCTAAAAACAATTCAATACGATTCAGACCCACTTTTAAAACTTTTTAAATTTATACAAGTACAGGTTTTTTATTAATTCACTGTTTTAAACGTGTGTATCCCACGAATGCTAGTCCTCAAATGCGGTGAAGTTTCTCCGATCTATGCCTACGGAGTATTTATAAGAATCTTGTTGAATCTAAAGTTGAGAGCACATAAGAAGCTTTTTTGGACGGGCTTAAGTCATCGGCTGGCTTCTTCGGAAAAGAACAAAGGAGCGTAGGGCAAAATTGAATTAAGTCAACTTAAAACTTCTTTTTTCCTCTACGAAAAAAAAAACAGACAATGACTTAAGCCATTCAAAAAAAGCGTTTATATACTCCAACCTTGAGGGTGTAAGTACATACGAAGCTTGAAGTCATGACTAGGCATATTTTGTGACATTTCATAAAGGGATTTAAGAGTCGCACTAAAATCCTGCCGTCGTTTTCCATTATAAATTGAAATTAATATATCTAGCCATGACTTCAAGCTTTTTATGTACTTGCACTTCAAGGGTTATTTTACTTATTGATGATAAACGTAATAAATGGACATAATATAAATGTATTTTAAAACATGCAAGGAATGCTAGCATTTAAATATTTAACAAATATTGACAATAAATGAAAGAAATCAGTAACAACATATCACTAAATATTTTGCGTTCGATTTCATAGCACATGTTACGTTAATTGTTTTTTAGTTTTTATAATGCAAAACTCCCGATTTAATAAAAAAAAATTACACTCACGGAGCTAGCAACGTAACTCTTGAAACCGCTTCGAGTAACTGTTTGCGGCCAAATGAAAGTTGATGGCTTGGCTCAAAAAGGACACATTTTTCTTGAATTTCCAACACCCCTCAATTTGCAAGCATTCCTCAAACTTGGCAACCCTTGCCAAAACAAACAACGATCACATTTTTGCAAATTAAACACACAAACCGAAGACATTTTTTCCAGGTTGGCAATCTCAACACAACTGCAACAGAGATCTCGCTATGCTCTCTGCGCTCTTAAGAAATGTTCATGTGTCACTCTCTTTTCATTAACACCCAGAGCCGGCATTTTTTCCATTCATTTTAATTTTTTTGTTTTTTTTTTTTTTTTTGCACTCAGACGACTTGTGGCGTACGACGTTGACGTCGTACAGCACTTCGAGATACAAAGGAAAGCACACAAAAAATAATGCGTAAGTGTGGGTAGGTTTGATTTTTCTTTCTTCGGCATTATTCAACCAGAATGTTTGAGAATGTGATTCGCAAACCAAATCCAAACAGATGATGTTATATGCAAAGAATTTGTTGTTATTGTGTTTAGCTATGCAAGCGATAGCAGCAACGACAAAAAACAACAACAACAACATCGGCAAACCTTGCACTTGCGTCATTTTTTTTTGTTTGTTTGTACCCAGCTAGCTAAGCGAGCGAGAGCAGCACCAGATAACTGTCGCCGACAGATGTTTGGGGCCATGACTGAGCGGACAGTGCCAAAATGATAGACAATGAATGTATCTTTTTGCCTGGCCTGGCCTGTCTGCTGTTGCTGTCTTTCTTTCATTTCATTTTCCCGTACACAATTAGCTTTTAATAAAACATTTTTGATAGAAAATGATGTGATGCGATGGTGGTGCTGCTTGTCGCCGATGCCCGCCTGTCGGCTATAAATAACCGATTTGCAAATGTGCTTCGATTTAACTTTTTCAATGAGTTATCGGGAAAGTTCCATATGAATGACCGACCGGCACCACAAACAAAAAAAACAACAACAACACAATACAACGACCGACGACCACATGCATACGTACACCATGAAATGAGAGCTTTGACTGTCTGTCAGCAGTTCAATGTTTTTATTGTTTTTGTGTTGCTTCTTCAACGGAGAGAAGTTTGAATGTTACTGTCGGTGGCCGTGGCGGCGGCGACAACGACACCGCGCCACTGTCCGTGTGGACGATGACAATTCATTTACTTGACTGTCTGTTGGATGGATGAAATGCCGGTTTGAATTTCACAATTCCACTTATTGCGTTTTCTTCTCAGCTGTAGTACATTGCCACTTTTTGGTATTTCTTTTATTATTTTTTGTTTAAGTCGCACACACACACACACAGTCTCACAGCCATTGAGTCAATAGATGCGTCACCAAACAGACATTTCTGTTTCCTTTTCATTTGTTCGGCTGGAATAAAGGTGTGGGTACATAAGCAGTTTGAAGTCTTCGCATGGCTTGAGGCATATCACAAAGGGATGCCAGAGCCGCACTCGAATTCTGTCCTCGTTTTCCTTACAATTTGACCAAGCTGCTTATGACCCCCCACACCTTAGCCGAAATTTGCGTTCAAAACGACAAGTCACATCGTTCAATATTGTTTTGTTCGATTTACAGTTCAAAATGTTTGTGTGCAGCAATATTTGGAAACACTGAATAATTTGGATACTTGAACAAATCTTATCGTTTTTTTTTTTAAGAACAAATCCACTGAGTATTTTTTTTTATTATTTTCTTAAAACAGAAACACCACAGACCACACATTGTCAACAAATTCTTGATAACCGGAGCTAACAAATTCCTTAAGACCGTTCAGACCCGCTGTTGGCGATCAAATGATGGTATTCAATGTCGTCGTTCAAATCAAAAGCCAAAAAGTTTGCAATATGCCAGCTTGCTCGCCTGCCTGCCTGCCTGCCATGCACACACATTGATGCCGGCACGCTGTCTCAGTCGACGTTGGCGCAGGCTGACGAAGCTCTTGCTCGCTCTTTGTGTGTTGTCGTCGTCATCATCGTCGTTGTCGTCGTCGTGCTTTGGCAAAAGTGAGTGGACTTGATGGTGATGATGATGACTACACCACGTTCGTTTCGCCTGGTTTATTCGTGGTTTCTGTTGTTGTTGTAGTCGTCGTCGTGTGTCATTCTTATTTCTCAGTGTGTGCAGCATAGCATTAATGTTGTTGCTGGCTGGCTGACAGGCTGTTGGCCGATGTTGCTGTTGCGACTACTGCTGCTACTGCTACTGCCAGTTGCGTTCTGTTCTGCAAGAGAAGATGGAAAGATGAATACCAGACACAGTCATCGAATCAGACAATAAAAACGCGAGCATATACTTTATAATACACTACACTTCCCGCATACGGTGCCAGTCAGCAGTACTGGCTGCTCCACACTCATCGCCGCCTGAGACCGCTGAGCATATTCATCATCCACGTTCGCGGTGTTCAGGTTCTCGCCCAGTTAGTTTCGACGGTCGGGCGCGTTGTGGCAAATATGATTGTATTTTATTGTAATTCATTTCTTTGTAAATCGCGTGCATACTTGGCTGCATACATACAGACAGCCATCCATCCATCCATCTATGTGCCTATGTATGTGCATGCACCGAGCAGCATGTACCATATGTACTAAGTGCAAGGTATTCCCATTCTGAAGGTTAGGCCCCATGTTTTCTTCTGTTTTTTGCCTTTGTTCACGGCAGCCAGACGACGGACAACGACTCGTGCTGGCTCGTTGGGGAGAAACTCAGCTGTTCAGCTTTAACGCCGCCATCGGTTCGATGGTGCTGGTGCAATGTAACATTCCTCGAATAATTGGGAAGCTATGATCGTTTAACCAAAATGCGAGAGGTATTTCGAACGATCTATGCTTGTAGGTATATGCTGCTTCATTTACTTGGTTGGAAATAATCGAAGACCAGCCAGGTATTTGGGTAGGAAATTTCTCAACTAATAATTATCATTAACATTTCAGCATACAGTTCCATAATTAGTTAAATGCCAATGGGAAGTGTAGCTAATTGAACATTATTCAAGAATTCGATTTGCGAGATTTGAAATTCGAGAGAATTGAGAGACATCGTAGCAGGCTTTAGCTCTTTTACACGTATAATGTCACTTGGGGGAATAATTCTTCTAAAGCTATGGTACAACGAATTATAACTTATCTTCTATGGGCAGAGGTCCTTTGGAAATACTTTAGACAAGTCTTCTAAATGGTGGCTCAAAAGAAATGTTATAAATTTTCCGATTGGACCCTAATGTCTTAATTACAGGCGAAAAACATCGGAAATTATTGTCAAACTTAGATCCAGTTCGGAGATGGGCAATATCGGTCCACTCCCCCTGGTACCTTCCACACAAAATGTCAACATTTTCAAAGAAAATAATTTATTGCACAGAAAGAGAAAGGATAATCCGATTTTGCTCCAACTTTGCGAATCCTAATATTTTCATCAGTGCTAGGCCAGGTGCGAAAATGGACAATATCGGTCCACTCCATCAGGTACCTGCCCCACAAAGGGTCAAAATTTTGAATAATTACAACTCTTATAAAATGTGATGTAAGAGTCCGATTGTCTACAAATTTCACACAAACCAATAATTTTATTTACCCAAGGTCTGGTGTGTAGATGGAACGTATTGGTTCACTCCTTCTGGTACCCCCACACACAAAAGGTCGAAATTTTCAAGAAAAATTTTTTGCACAGAAAGAGAAACGATAATCCCATTTTGCTCCAACTTTGCAAATCATAATATTTGCGTCAGTTCTAGGTCAGGTGCGAAAACGTACAATATCGGTTCACTTAATCAAGTGCCTCCCCCACAAAGGGCCAACATTTTGAATAATTACAACTCTTATAAAATATGATGTAAGAATTCGATTGTCTTAAAATTTCACACATCCCAATATTTTTATAAACCCAAGATCTGGTGATAAGATGGAATCTATGGGATCTGTTATAAAAACGGTGGATATCGGACCACTTATTCTGGTACCTACCTCACAAAGGGTCAACGTTTTAAATAACCAAAACGTTTATAAAATCCGAAATAAGCGGCAGATTCTCTTTATATTTCACACATCCCATTATTTCAACTAATACAAAATCTGTTGTTAAGCCTCCACAAAGGCTCAAAAATTGGAATATTCATGAAGCTCATATAAAACGAAATTAACGTGCGATTTCATTCAAGACTTGGTACATCTCAATATTTACATCAACGCAAGATCTGTTTTAAAGATGGACCATTCGGACCATTTATTTTGCTACCTGCCCCACATTGGGGTTAAGATTTTGAAAAACAAAACGCTCAAAGAAAGCCGAATAAACATTCAACACTCTTCAAATTTCACACATACAAACATTTTTGCTAACACAATATCTGTCGTGCACAAGATATGTATTTCAGCGATTCTTTACAACTTGCTATATATAAATATATCTCTCTTTGCCAGAAATCTGAGATGCATATGGAATTTAAGATTTTCCAATAATTGGATATAAATGCCGTCTTTTTCCATTACTTGGTATGATAATCCTAATGTATTTCAATTTGAAAATATTATAAAAATAACTCATTATTTAGGCATATACGTTTACCAATTTTTTACTGAATTATAAGGCTGTCCGAATTGTAATACATCTGCAATTTTTTTAGAAATGTTAATGATCTCTTAAAATTTTTTTATTATTTTTATTTTATAAATTAATTATAATTCTCTTTTCAATATACTTTCACATATTTCGGAGTTCAACACTTCTTTTCCTTCAACACCAAAACTAGATATTCCCACATGTTTATTTTTGGACGGATCGAACGATGCCACCAGGCAACAGTAGCAGCAGCGGCCACAGCGAATTATTAACAAACACAACATGGAGTATGGGATTTTGGGTTTGTCTGCACTCACACTTAACGTCGAGGTGAGTACGTGACATTCATATGTCACTATGTAGTCAAATTATAAAGATTCATCAAACCCATGCTGTCTGTACCTAGGTGGGTATGTGGAGAGTTTAAGGTAAAATTGCAAAGAGTATAAATCGCAAATTTGGCAACAATTTGGAGCGTGTCTGATGCAAAAGAACGTAAGCCCTCAATCAATATTGGATCATTTAGTAATAAATTATTATTTTTAATAATATGGTGAATTATACATTTTTAATTTCAATAAAATATTGTATTTTTTCGTTTTACGCTTTTAGTTTGTGACAATTTGATGTGTCACCTCAACGGATGTGTAGCCTAAAAGAACGGATGTGGGTATGTGTCTGGGTTTGTTTTACAACATTTTACAAAATATTCGTGTGTTTGTTTTCGGCAAATTTTAAACTTCATTGTGGTTTGAGCCCGCCGAATATTGTACGTAGAGAGTGGACAACACCCATACATATGTCCATATGCATTTGTATTAGTTGGGGGTATTAATCATATTCCATGCTCTGTACAAATGTCCTTTTTCTGTTAATTTGTCAAAGATGAAAAAAGGCGAACTGTACACTATATATATTATAAGCACTGTATATTTGATGGGAACACTTAAAATTAAATTAGCCTTGAGTTATGATTACTCTAATTGTTGACCCTCGATGGGGGAGGTTTCGAACCAGTTGGCTAATATCGTATCTGACCTAAGACTGATATAAATATTAGAACGTGCCATATTTCATGTACTTCCCATACTTTATATGAGATATGTGCAAATATTTTGAAAATGTGGAAATATACGTGAGGTACCAGTGAGGTAATACAGATAAAAACAGGTAAATACAGATGAAATCGAACATTTATATCCAATTTTATACGAAATCATATGTTCCGCTTAATTACATATTCATATCAGATTTTTGGCTAAGGGTAATATTTGGATATAGCCAGTTGTATAGAATCGCCGACTTCTTTCGCAAGTTATGACAGATATAAACATTGGAAATTGTGACCATTTCTGGTGGAGGTACCAGAACGGGTTGGCAGATATCTATCATCTTCACAATAGATTATGCGTTAGCAAAATATTTGGATGTGCAAAATTTGAAGAGAGTTGGATGCTTATTTCTCGTTTTATGAGTGTTTTGTTTTCTTTTTTTTAAGTTTTGAACCCTGTGTTGGGAAGTACCAGAAGAAGTACGCTGATATATCCCATTTCAGATCTTGCGTTAGTAAAAATAATGGTATATGTAAAATTTGAAGAGAACAAGATGCTTATTTCGGGTTTTACAATCGTTTTGGTTATTCAAAATGTTGACTCTTTGCGGGGGAGGTATCAGAAGAAATGTTCTGATCTTCCATCTTTATATCAGATCTTGTGTTGATAGAAATATTGAGATGTGTCAAGTCTGAATGGAATCGGATGTAAATTTAACGTTTTATGACCTTCATGAATAATAAAAATGTTGACGATTTGTGGGGGAGGTACCAGATGGAATGGGTCGATATATCCCACCTTCACAAGAGATCTTGTGTTAGTAGAAATAATGGGGTGTGTGAAATATGAAGAGAACCAGATGCTTATTTCGGATTTAATAATCGTTTCGGCTATTTGAACCATTCGCCTTTTGTGGGGGGATACTAGAAGAATTGGTCCGATTTCTACCATCTTTATAACGGATCTTGTGTTGATAGAAATATTGAGAGGTGCCAAGTCTGAATGGAATCGGTTGTTAATTTCGCGTCCTATAAGCTTCATAGATATTCAAAATGTTGACCCTTTGTGGGGGAGGTAACTGTAGGAGTTGACCGATATTGTCCAACTTCACAGCAGACCTTGGTTTAATAAAAAATATTGTGATGTGTGTAATTTGAAGACAATCGGACTTTTACATCTCATTTTATAAGAGTTATAATTATTCAAAATGTTGACCCTTTGTTGGGAAGGTACTTGATGGAGTGAACCGATAATGTCCATTTGCGGACCTGATCTAAAACTGATGAAAATATTAGGATTTGCAAAGTTTGAGCAAATTCGAATTATCCTTTCTCTTTTTGTGCAGTAAAATATTTTCTTTGAAAATTTCAACCTTTTGTGGGAGAGGTACCAGAAGAGTGGACCTATATTGCCCACCTCCGAACTCGATCTAAGATTAATAAGACCATTACGATGTATCAAGTTTGCATCAAATCGGATACTCCCTTCGAGAGCTATCCTGCGCATCAGCCAGCCAGACTGACGGACGGACATCGCTAAATCGACTTCAAATGTCCTGAAACGTATTTGGTCCAAAAAGACCTAGGGTCTAAAACTTTTATTTCGGTGAGACACGTTTTGGCCGTATCAAATGATATATAACCTTTTCTTGTTGCAAAATGGTCAGGCCTAATCCCTAATCTATATCTGAGGGTATAAAAGTTATGACAATGAGATGTCAAATGAACAATTTAAAAAAAATTGTAAACATATAATTGCATCACTTTACCTTCTTAATTCTACCATGGATTGCACTTTCAAATTAAAAAAGAGTTCTGAGAAAATCTTTAGAATTTTTTTCCAGAAATTTTCCGTGATCAAAATAAACAATGATGAAACAATGAACAATGATGATTAACGAAAAAATAATGTTGACCTCCCATGCAATGATGCCTGGTATAAAAACAACATTATCACCATTCAAAATATAATTAACATTTTAACTATTTTAATATTCGACCTAAGATCACATAAAGTTCCTAGAAATATCTGGTAGTTAAATCAAACCTTTTTACTTCAAAACTATTACAATCGATGACAACTAAAATTGGTCGAATGTCACACCTTTACACTCTGCTGTCAATTGGTCCCGGCAACATAACCTTGCAAAATAATTACAACATATTTACAATAGTTCTTATAATTTTATTACTATTATTTATTTATTTGCTGAAAAATATCAACGAATGAATTTACAAAATGTCTTTTTGTTGCTGTTCCTGTAAAAATCTACACCTAAAGAGTGAGTTTCGGCTTTCTTTATACTATTTTATGTTTTTGTTGTTAGTTAGTTATATTTCATTTTACTATATAATCATAAGTATATATATTTGTATGTAGTATATGTATACGGGGTATATGTAGGTATGTATCGACGCTATGTAACAATATTTTTATTATATACTATAAGTTCTGAGCTGCAACTTTGATAGTTTTTGGGCGGACTGCAGCACGAAGAAAATTTGTAAAAACCGGCAAAAGTTGAAAGAGACATGAAACCGAACCCGTAGGAGGAGAAAGACAGCGGGGAGGAATGAACTGACTTGAAACCAATGTTTCATTTCGTGCAGCAGTCAACAACAATGTAGGAGAAACCCATGTGCAGCAAGTGAGCTAGCGGTGATGTACTTATATGCAGGCAGGCAGGCAGGCGTTTATGTACCAACAATCCATGTGTACGAGTGGGTACATAAGTAGATGTACATCGGGTTGGTCGGCATGTACCTGAATAAGCGCATGTGTGACTAATCACTGCCAAATTCTCAGCACCACTGTTCAGTGCTTTGCTTTGTGTGTGCTTTTCGATGATGTATCTGTTCATTGTTCGTCCATTTGCTTTCTTGCCTGCCTGCCTGCTTGCCTCTCTGTTTGTCCAGCGAACGATTGGTGTCTGACTAAAGCTTCCATTGAATGCAAGCAATACACCATCCATGTAAAGCGAACAAAGAAACAAATAAAGAAACTCAAATGTGTGGTTGTTGCTGGGTACGGGGCAGTGCAGTGCAATGGAGTGAAGTGGAGTGGAGTCGAGGAACATGGGAGGATATTGTGTTGTGACCTTAAAGTTAAATATTTCTTTTGTTCATCAAATTCACAATTGGTTCTTTTGGTTACATACCAGCCGAAAAAACAACAAAAAACAAACAATAAATAATAATCGTTTGGAAAAATGAAGAACAGGAGAGAGAGAGAGAGTGGGCGACAATAAAAATAATTACACAGTGCTACATTGAAAATTGTAAAGTGTCGCATTAGTTTTCAAGTAACTGTGTTGTTGTTCATTTGTTTTCGAATATAAAAACTATTATTTTTCTTCAAATACTTCCACTTTGAAATTATTCGAAGATTTTCTCAAATTATGTAGCATTGTGTAACAGACAAAATAAAGACTTAATCATAGTTAGGAATAACCCTTTTTCAGGGGGAGCTATTGTTCTGTGCCGGCACAAAGGGAATCCAACGCAAACAGCTCTCATCGATTTTGGGGAAAGTGCCACGCCGTTTGATGCGTTCTTCATAGTCGTCCAGGACATCCTGTAATGAAGAATAAAAACCAAAATGCCGGGTTGAGTATTTAACTCTTTTCGCTTCTCGCTCTCTGGACACAAACAATACGTTACCTGTTTTTTGAGCACAATATGTTTGCCTTTCCAGTACTTCATCATACCCAGAGCTTGCAGAGTGCTGACAATGTCATATGAATAAATGGCCATTTCCTAGAATTTTGTAATGAATCAATGAGTGAGTGTTTGCATGGAGTGTTGTTATTGTTGTTATTCTATAAATTATCACTTTTGTTGTTATCAAGTCAAGTTTCATCTTTGTCTGCGGTTTTCATGGTCTTACCTGTGACACATCTTTAATACTTAAAGTATTTCCTGTGCGATTGCATAAATACTCCAGCAGTACATCTTTCCAATACGAACGATATGAGATTAATCCCAAATCCGAGAGGGGTTTTTCGGGCGAACCTATTTTTCCCTCCACCCTGGTCAGAAGATAACCTTAAATGAAAGAAGAGAAACATGAAATTAAAAAAACCAAGTAAAAAAATGTGTTTATTTTGATGTTCCATTTGGGATAATTATTTTTTAAAGAAGAAGCTAATCGTCCCACAAAATATCAAATTACTGCATAATTGTTTGGAAATAAGAGAGATGGAGAGAGAGAAAGAGAGAAGAGAAATTTTCCATATATCAGAAGGATCTATACCAAATTTGTAAGATTGATACAATTAAGAACGCTTTCTCAAAACCAACATCCTTATGTCAGGCAAGGTTTTTAACTTTGATTTCCAAAAAAAATTCAATATTTTAACTCCATTAATTAAAAACAACATGTTATCAAATTTACAGGGTGAAATTAAAAACAGCAACAAAGTCAAACGCTATGATTTTTACATTTTTTAAAATTTTATTGGATGAAAGCAAAAAATGTCGGAAGTAGCATCAAATTTTAGAATAAGTTTAGATTTGTTCGAATTGGTCACCTTTGGCACGAATTATGGCCTTCAAACGGCCAATGAAACCGTCACACGCTGCCCGAATGTTGCTCTGCGGTATTTTGGCCCATTCCCGGCGAAACACTTGCTCGATCGACGCTTTGGTATTTTTTAGTGCCAACCTTGCTTTCCAAAATATTTCAGACACAATAGTCCAACGGATCGGTATCCGGAGATTTGGATGGCCATTGTGCGCTGGAAATGAAGCGAGGAACCTCATTTTGTAACCATTCTTGGGTGGCGTGTGCTGAGTCCTGTTGGAATGTCCAAGGTCTGCGGCCAAAATGTTTGCGTGCTCAAGGCTTTTATACACCCTCCAGAATATTTTCGAGATAATATTCAGCATTTATTCTGATGCCAAGGTCGAGTGGAGAGCGACCACCGGATGTTATGGCGGCCCACACCATTACCATGACCGTCGCTTGAATTCTGGTGGCCAACCGAAGGTGCACATTTTCAGCTGACCTCTTTGGCAAGTAAACACGATCATTTTTTTTTTTGTTTACAAACTACTGCGCAACGAATGTTTTCTCATTGGAGACGGAGAAACCCAAGTTCGGCAGTTCACAACTTTCAGTCAAGCGAAGCAACTCTTTAGCTTTTTTGAGTCTATTTTCTTTCTGTTGCGGTGTATGTTCTTGCGCTTTTTGGAATTTCAATGGCGTTACCCCGAGCTCATTTTTCAATATTTGCCGAATGGAATATTGCGATATGTTCAGCTCACGAGCCATTTTTCGGCCACTGCGACGCGGGTTTCGATCAAGTCGCTTCTTTACTTTTCGAATCATTTCTGCTGATGTTGCTGTTTTCTTCCGTTCACTTCCTTGACGTCGGGGTACGCTGCCAGCATCACGGTAGCGAGCGATGGTATGAGACACACGAGATTTATTCACATTTAAATGCTGGAGAGCTCTAACGATAACCACGTGTGGTTTTCCAGCCAAATATAAAGAAATCACACTATCACGCTTGAATTCCATCACGGATAACTTTTTTTCTGGAAAATTCTCACAAAAATGCTTTTGTACGCTTGTAAACAATATAATGAGCTGTCACTGGAATAATTTTAACGGCTGTCGGACGAGTGGCTTAGAAATGACAGCAGTCTGAAGTTAGTTGCAGTTTTTTCATCTCAAACTGTATTCTTGAGCAGCATAAAATTCTATCTCGATTCAGCGATGTCCGTCCGTCTGTGGAAATCTTTCTAGCTTCCGAATGAAATGAAATAGGTAGTTAAAATTTTACTCAAATGTATATTTTGTCTGCAGGACTTTTGGTATTGAAAATGGACCATATATAGCCTTAAAATGGTACCTCCCTAATTTCGGTATTTGGGCGATTTAAGCGACATTATTCACTGGAAATATTTCAAATTTGTTATTTGAAGTTCGTAATGAATAGTACAGCCTATGACAGACAACTGTCCGTGCACGCCTTCGTATAGCCCCCATACAACGGCACCTCCCGATAATCGGTATTTTAATGATTTTAGCGACATTATTCACTGGAATTGTTTTAAATTTGGTATTCGAAGTTCGTAATGGATATCACAGCATATGACAGAAAATTGTCTGTGCAGGTCCACGTCTTCGTATATCGCTCATATAACGGTACCTCCCGATATTCGGAAAGTACGAAATTGGCCAAATTCGTTCCAAATGGTGGAGGGTATTCAATGTTAGACAGCTTTTTTACTTGTAGCTTGTTGTTGCTTGTTATCATATATGAACTTACATCCACAAATTTAGAGCTCAGAGCTACCAATCGCTAAATATTAATCTCACTTCCGTCCCCATGATTCAAATTTCAATATAGCTTCTACCGTTTCGTCTGGTTGTTGATGAATTCGTCAGTCAGTGAATCAATCAATCTCTCAACTTCAAAAAGGTGTGATATCTGTGTCTTTTACCCGAAGAAGACCTTTAGAAGCCACCAGCCTCCAGCAGAGTTCTTAAAATTGAAGATTATTGGAACGAACGCCTTCTATCTTTCGGATGTATTCTACCGTTAGAAGGTCTTCTTCGTATAGAAGACTTTAAAATAATGCCCTTAAAGACTTTTATAACGCCCTTAAGAAACCGATTTTTAACAGATTTAATATTTTTATAAACCCTTAAGAGGACCTTCAACATTCACAAAACCTTTAGCAGGTCTTATACGATTAAAATTCCTTTGGAAGATATTTTGTCCATGTTAGAACTGTAAAATATCTTCCATCTATAAAAACAACTTTTAGAGGTTCCTCTATCTACAGCAAACGACATTTTTAATAACACCTTAGAAATGTTTGGTTTTACTAGGCCTAGAAAAGGTGTTTTATCTTTGAAGGTATTTTCTTGAAGATAAATAAACATATTCAAGCCGCAGAATGTTCACAGAAGATATTTATATAAATAAGACTTAAAATGATATATCACCAAAAGACGTTATAATGCACCTAGATCATCTTTTAATGGAAGACATATCCTCCAAAAATGTCAGAATTACTAGCAATGACAACCACATACCCGGTACTCCAAAAATAATGACAACTACATATCCTCTGCCTTACCATTAAACTAAAAGTAATGAGTTATTGCTAGACAGCTTACAGGGCAAAATAATTTACTTATATTTTACCAAGTACTGAATAATGGCGGCACAGAGCAAACACTCCCGTCTTCAAAACAATGAGAAAGTAGGCCCAACTCCTAATAAAAAGGACATTTGCTTTTCTGGTCTCATTTATTAGCTCTTGGTGGCAGTTTTGTGAGTATTTACTTCCAATGCTATGTCAATTAATAATTTAATTAATTAAAATATAATCGAAATCGAACGTCTTTTATCTTTAGGACACCCACTAGGCTTCTTCAATGTGAAAAATTCCCCATACATTTCTTTGGCGAAGTACCTGTCGATTTCCATGCATTGAATATCTATCATATTTTTAGGTGCTAAAATTTCCACTTGGATCACATCGCAACATGCATGGATACGCCGCGAACAACAAAAATCTATGAATGGCGACAAGAATACATTTTGCTCGTCAGGGTGCTATTTTTAGACGGGGATTAATTTTAGACTTTAATAATATTTTTATACTCTGATTAAATCAAACAATCGCGGATTCAGTGGCGTAACCAACGCAAATTCAAACCAAAAACAAAAAAATGTGCATTGTTATCCATCGTTGTTGTCGTCGCCGCCGCCGTCATCATCACCGGTCGCGTTGTTGCTGTTGTTGCTATTGCCAAAGTGGAGAAGAAGAAAAGAACAAAAAAAATTGTTCACTTGTCTAGACAGTAACAACAACACCTCCACCGTCGCCCCCGTCATAGTCACCCACCCGTGTTTCATTCTTCATTCCTTCTTTCATTCTTTGTTGCTCGAGAATTGAGAATCGCTGGCGAAAGAAGTAGGTATGAGCAATGAAATAAACTGCAAATGACCTCTTCTTTTGCCGAAGCACTCACCGCACAACGCGAGCGATGAGAAGTGAGAAAAAAAAACAAAAACAGAAAACTCTTTGACGCTCGGCATGCCACAGCACAGCTACTATCTCCTTATGCTGCTGCTGCTACCATCGCCAATCTGTCAGACCGTCTTTCAGCTGGTCGGTGTTTTGGTCTCTCATGCTGATGATTATAACTCATTCGGATTGAGGCATGTAAAACGTTTTTCGATTTGGTACTCTCTACCACTCGTTGTTGTTGTTGTTTTATTGGGTTTAACCGCTGACAGGGTATAAAACATGTACGGTGTATGAAATGTCAAAAATGTATGAAACGTCATTTGAAATAATAGATACAATAGGTCATAGAGTCCAACGGATATATGCTTCTTGTAGCATTTCATTAAGGAGTCTAAAGGTATGATCAGATTCTGTGAATCCTGATTCACAGGAACTTTGTAAATTGTCCAAACTTTCGTAAAGAATAGTCTAGCATCTACATTATTGACCATCACAGGGAACTGAATATCAACCAAAAACTTTTTGTACAACTGAATATGAGGGATACAGAATCCCAGTTTGCTTTAATTTCTGATGGTTGCGCCCAATCTGATGAACATATTTTTTGAAATTTACTGCAGATTTTGATGTAAATTTAGAAGACCCTGTATCTATAACAAAATTTAAAGGCCCTTATATTCTCAGAAAACCTTTTGAAGACCTTTTTCTATTCCCTAACAACACGAATAACTAACAGCAATAAAGTTTTTTAAGAGGACCCCCAATTGAAATTTGAAAAGAGAGTCACTAATGGAGAGTAGGATAGATGTACCAAAGTGTTTTTGGAAATTCGAACTTTAAGGTTACGAAAAGTTCTAAAATGGTACTATTTGGTATTTTGTGGATGGGATTGGTACGGATAAAGCTAAACACTTGCAATTGGTATGACAAGGTTGGAAAGTAATTTTGATGTGGTTTTGAAAATGTGTACTAAGTGTGCAAACTGTACTAAATGGTACTAAATTTAAAACAATGAACTAATGACTCAGGAATTTTGAAATTTTGTATTGGGG